AGTACGCTCTTAAGAAAAAATTAAGAATAGTTAAAGTTTTTAAATGTTTAAAAATAGGTTTTGTATAATTATATTATCGAAAGTAATAAACAAAAGAAACGTCGCTTATTTTAATCTATGATAAAGCACTTACTTGAATCAAGCTCAATAAAATTTATGAATAAAACTAAAATTATCGCGCTTTTCTTGTAATTTACAGAATTCTAAAAATATACGTAAAGATGTTAAAATACATATTGCATTTATAATAGATGGAAAGGATGTACTAATTGTACTAATATCAAGTTTATTAGTAGGGTCTTCCCCCCTCCCAGGGTTTCCCAGCAATTGGGGTTTTTAATAGTAGCCGTTGAAGAGTTCTACTTCCATATCCATTCCATACACAACAGTTCGATTCGTCATCAGATCATCTCCTAAATGCCAAATATAGAATTATCATCCAGACTATATATGCGAGTACATACAAAGTTTTAGAAGTCAGTTAAAAAAAACCTTCAATATTCCCTTATAGTAAGTTAGTAAAGCTCATAGAAAATCTATTCATCTACATGTACTTGTAAATAGTTATCTGTTTAACTATGTATCTGTAACTTAACATGTAAATCAATCTTAAAGGTTAAATTTATAATCAATCAACTCTGAAGCGATAGAATATTATTTTTTAAACATGAATAACACAAATTAAATAGCAGGAATAAAGTCAATAAAGTCTAGAGAGTAGAATTATTCTATGATATAAATTGTCAGTGGATTTTAATAGTGCAACGTCTATTTTAAAGTACAAAATCAAATTGCACACAATTCTAGCCCGAGTATAAATATTTTGATGAAACTCATTTCAAACGAAGCATCGCTATTCCAATGTTTAGCTAACAACTTTTTTAAACTTCTGAGCAAATAAAAATTTGGGAATCTGAAATACAAACAAACAACACAAATATAAAGTTTCGTTCGTTCGTTTTGTAAATATTGTATACCAATTTGTTACCAATTTATAATAACATCGACTGCACACATATATTCTATTTTTATTTGCTAAAACGGAGGTCATGGGTTCGAATCAAACCCAGGACAAATAATTGTGTAATGAGCACACTCATTTCTCTGTGTTCCAAATTTATTTGTCCTAGGTTTGATTCGAACCCATGACCTCCGTTTATCTAAAATATTTATGTTGTACTGACGGACTTGAATACCTGTTCATATAATGGGCTGACAGATGTGAGCGGAGCTGCGTCTCCCTTTAATTGAGAGAGTACCTAAATGAATAGATCTAAAAAATAAAAATACCTCATATAATTTAATATTCTACCACATTCACACATCATCATAATCATTAACAGTCTCTAATTTTTTACTGCTGACCGTAGGCCTCTCCTTAGAAAAGAGGTTTTGGTCTACTATACTACGCTGGCCAGACGGGTTGTTATAGGGTTTGTTTCTAGTTTTTCTTGTCTGTTGTCCTGCAGAGATTGCTCCCTTAGTCAGATCTTATGACACCCATGGGATGAATAGGGCTGGTGACATTCTGTATTCTTAATCCGTCATTACACGGATATTCACACAACGCCCTCTTAACCCTAAACTAAGCAGAGTTTGTACTATGAGTAAATGAGTATATTTTTTCTACCTATTGAAAAATACAGTTAAGAAATAGATAACTACTACTGATTACTAGGCATCGCTCAAAAGCTATCTCAGATGAAACATGCACATGCGTAATGATTCACCAAATATTAGATTATCTAGAATTAATTTGAGCTAAATTTTAGCGCTGGGTTCGATTCCCGGACCGAGCAAAATTTTAAATGGTTTCTTTTGAGAGGAAAAATACCCAAATACCCAAGTTACTCCTTATATAGACAGCTACCTGGTCATAAAATATTATAAAAATCGGTAGAAGATTGCCCGGAACAGACAGACAAAAAATATTAAATTGGTTTTTAGGCATAGGTTTCCAATAGGTATGCAAATAACCGCGTGAGCATGAAAAAAACATTATTTTCAGAAACAGAAAATTCACTTTTATTTATTTGTAGAGATGATTTTGGTCAATTAAAGTCGTTGATAAAAATTTTAAAAGTTTTATTACGTGAATTATTCCATTTATATATCCCTAGGAGGAGAATAAGATAGGACAGGCCTGACGGTCTTATAGTTAGAATCTTAACAACAAGGCGGAGGTCGTGGATTCGATACCCACCCAGGACAAATATTGTGTGATGAGCACGATAAATTTGTTCTGTGTCCAGATATAATTTTTTTCTAATATGTATGTATTTAGATATCTAAGTATGTTTTCTTATAAATATTTGTGAACGGTTGACGAAATAAGCTTGTCATCAATCATGTAAATGGTTAAAACGCCTCTGTAAACCCACTTGGGAATAAAAGGTGTGAGTATGTAGGAGATAGTTAGTAGAAAAGTCAATTAAGGTTTCCTCAGAATCAGAAAGTATACCTTTTATTCTGAACCAACCTTTCATCTTTTTCTGTACCCAGGACAACATCTATATGGTGTCTTCCACCTAGAATGAAACAAAGAATCATACTACAACTACCATCTATCGATGACACACCGAACTACGGAGTAACTGCTAATCCTATATCGCGATGTGAACAATCCTCTCACCAACTAGCATATATACAACTTTCCAACAGCAACCTTCGGGCCGCGGCCCGCCAGGCATTATCACTTTGCCTGGTCGCAGGATCCTCCCTTTATGTTGGAGGGAAATGACACCCTTTCCTTCACAATCTATACAAAGTTTCGTGATGATCAATTGAGTAGTAACCACAGCGTTAGAAAAATACGTACCACATTATCTACACTAATATTTGAGTTTGTTTGTTTTCAGAAACTACTGGTTCGAATTGAAACATTCTTTTAGTTTTGGATAGCTCATTGATCGAGGAAGGCTAACGGCTATAAAACATCGAACTACGACCAATAGGAATTGAGCGTCAATGAAAAATCTTGCAAAAACCGGTAAAAAAATTCTTCTAATCCTTTTAATCAAATCCTTTTGAGACGCAAACGAAGTTGTGCAAATCAGCTAGTATCTTGTAGTATGGGTATACTGAACTTTCCTGAACAAACCGACCTTGGTTTGATAAACATTTATAGTTATATTGCTTATATTGGCATGACTTTGTTGTTACTGAACTATGACCAAGACTTCAAGTGTACTTTAACATACTGAATTACTGTAATGAACTGCAAATAACCTTGACTTTTAACCTTGGTAACAGCAAAGAGAAGGAAATCTTGACACAAACCCTATACCAACCCGTCTCGCTAACGTGGTATAGTAGGCCAAAACGTCCTTACTAAGGAGAGGCCTATGTCTAGCAGTAGACTCTTAAAGGCTGTTGATGATGATTATTGATGATTTACGTTAAGAGGTGATGTTTAAAGTCTCTAAGAAACACTGATCTAATGATATTATACGTGTTATAACCGTGGGAGAGCCATGGCCGACTCAGAATGCTACTTCACAGAAAACCGGTGTTAAGTATTTCTATTGTTGCTCTCAACTCAATCCGGAGTGAGGGGACGCTCAAAGGGCGTGCTTGTTGTGTCTCTTGAGTTGTGTCACAATCTGAAATTTGACCAAATTGTCAATTAATTTCATTTATACTTTTAGACACACTGATGACATCACATTAAACTCCAGGATTTTTCCAAAGGAATATTTGCGTTGTTGCAATATAATAATTGTAATAATCTATTTTAGCCTTACTGTCTATTCTTATAAGATTTATATTTGATTGTAATAGAATTGTTTAAACAAACAATTCACTATTACAAGAAGCGGTTCGCGACAGCGATATTTAGGTTAAATGGAACAATGTTCTATAAAGTGTTCCGTACCGATAGATCTTGATAATGTTAAGGAGATGATACTCTACAAGATTTTCTTTAAATATTTTTAGTTCTATTTCTCTAAACATATATAAAAAATTAAAAGTAAAAAGCATTTTTAATAACAAGCTTTTTTTATTCATTCTCAGCAAGCCCTTTCATTTGATACCCATATTGTAGGAGTGCATTAAAACTAACTAGTCCGCCATCTTGGGTGTACCGCCATGTTGGATTTAGAATGACGTCATACAGCTAAACATGCATTGTCATGCAAACATCCATCCAAGTCCCGTCTACCTACCATATACGGAATATTTCTTTATACGGTATACCGTATGTGGTACACGGGGAGCGGACCCCCCGAGGTCGACTTCAAGGCCGGCAAAGCGCTTGCGACTCCTGAACTGCAGGCTTTTATAGTTGGCGGTAGTCACTTTCCATCAGATGACCTACAAACATGTTAACAAACATTGTTAACATGTTTGTGAAATTCAATGTTGTTTCAATTTGTGCACTTCTGTTTTGTGCGATATTTGAGTAAAAGGGAAGATCCTTTATAATAAAAAAACAACTCCCGCATCACGAACATAATCCTGTGTGGCGGGACTTTACATAACATACATGAAACGGACACACAAATCACCTAGACTCAGAACAACAATTTGTGTATCACACAAAGTGGTGTCCCATGTGGCTATCGAACCCACAACACTCAGATCAGTAGTAATCGGGCATGGCGACTGCTTAAACCACTACGTCATCCGTGTAATCCACGATATGGATAACTAAATAATAATTATTCTTTCAATAGCTTTATCAGTTTCCCACATCAGTCTTCACCTTAAGTAACCAACAACCAACCAAACATGTGTGGCAAAGTCATCACCATACATTGTGACATTGAACTAGTAATTAAAAGGAATTCAAAGCAATGCCATTATATTGTGAATAAGCATTTATATCAGTTGTGCCCACGTTCCTTTAAAGAAACTTTTGCAATATTTCAAATAAAGTAGAGTTTTGTAATAATGTAATAGGAATTACTTTTTGAGAAGCGATTAAAATTATGTATTTCTAAGTAGTGATTAGAATATTTTATATAAACTGATCCTTTCTTGTAAGTGGTGATAATAAAATGGGTTTCATAAAGTCTACAATAAAATCGGTAGTGTTAATATTACTGGTGATACGAACAGTTGGTGTGTATAGTAAAGATTTGAATGAGACCGAACGAGCTCTGAGGGCAGCTTTTGTGCAAAAACTGTTGAACAAACAAAGATATTTGGATGGAAGGATCAAGTTAGTTGGTGGACCAAACAGATTTGAAGGTAAACTAACTATTATTATTGTAAGACAGGATCAAAAAAGAGATAAATTCAAATGCATGAAATAATTTTAAAAAAATGAGTATTGTTTTCTTTTAGTGAATCAATCAATGAATAGAATTCTAAATACCTATTTTAGAAGACTTCTATTTTCTCAATGTTCGCTTGCCTCTTTTGTCTTTCTTTTTTATCTTATTGGTATTTCTTATTTTTTTAAAGTTTTTTTTAAAATTCTTGAAAAACTACTAGCCGAAAATAAGTTGTAAACCAGATCTAATCCACCAGGTGAAGGTTTTAAATGTTTAGTTTTTTAATAAGGTGTATATTTATCATTTTTTTATACGCACGAATTTAATTATTTAAATTGGTACTGACTACCGTCAGATTGTCAAGAACTTCTCTCTCTCTCTAGTTTCTCAATTCAGGTAACCCGCAAGAACAGTTCTGGGTTGAAAGGTATCCTATATCTTTCAATGTACCTCTGACAATGTGTTTGCATAATTTTATTATAATCGGTTAAGTAGTAAAAGCGAGAAAGCTAACAAACAAACCAACTAATAAACATTAAAATTTACACAAATATTATTATTATACATCAAATATGTATACATATATGTATTTGTAACAATACTCAGTAAAATTAAAAATAAATGATAAAATAAAGTTAGATATAGAAGTTTGTCATTTAATTTGGATAACTAGAAGTATTTTTCAGGAAATGTCTATATTTACCACGCCGGTCGATGGGGAGCTGTGTGCGATGACTCCTGGGATGATGCAGCGGCTCATATAGTGTGCCAAACATTCAACAAAACTGGTGTTGCTACTCACGGTAGCCAGTATGGAGAAGCTGCGGGTAATTTAATGAGTTATCTAATTCTCGGTGTACAAAAATAGAAGCTCAACCACGAAGGCCCTTTTTTCCACATCATTGACGTCATTTTGGAATTTCATATCAATTATTTATTACCTTAAATTAAATTCTACAATGAAACCACTTCCAAACTAGATTTGAGTGGTATTCATGTAATTAAATTTTCAACGGTTTAACTCATGTATGCTTCCGTGTGATGCCTGGCATTTGCAACTCGACGGCCCTTGTGGGGTCCTGTTTTTTAATTAGTTGAAACCTGAAGTTAAATTTCTGAGTACCGTGTCATTTATATTAGTGAATGGAGCGAGCTACCATAATTTAATTGTATATATGCTACTGATTGAGCTGGAAAATTGTAAAAAAATAAATAAGAAAACTTGCTGTACGTACCTATTGTTATTTCATAATCAACTTTCTTCGACCGCGGCTTTTCTATCCCCGGGAAATGTCTTTTTCCCCTTTTATTATGCCATAGGAGGTGAACGAGGTGAGTTTCCATTGCCTTTTTTTATTTACAGCTAAATTCTGGATGGATGATGTAGTATGCCAAGGTGATGAAACATCACTTTCACATTGTATCTTCACTGGCTGGGGTTCCTCCGACTGCGAATCAGATGAAGCAGCAGGTGTAAGATGCATGAATAAAACTGAAGTCCCTAACAATTACGTTAAGAAGAAACGAGAAAGTAAGAAGTTACAGGAAGTCTTGGATCTTAGCAGTACAAGCTTGAGATTGGCTGGTGGAAATAATAATAATGAAGGTAGAGTAGAGGTGAGTTGAATTATTAATGCTGATAAAAATTTTAAATTTTATCAGCAATTTAAATGACTTGTGGAAAAGTGTTGAAATCTAATTTTGAAACTGGTAAAGAAAATGTTATAAATATGCCGCAAGAGATAGAGAGAGAGAGAGAGAGTTAACGGAGTTAACTACAAGAATTACAAAGCACTAATAATCTAGTAATGGCTGAGCAATTTTTCTTTAATCATTTAAATTTAATTCAAAAAAATTTGCTAATTCATTACATTATTATAAAGAACCAACTATTACAGACCGCTATAACAATAAGAATTTACTTGATCAACTCACCTTTTAAATTGCAAAATTGTTTTGGCCATTTTCTTTTAGGTCTGGCTGTTGCTATTTTTCAGGACTCGTTTCACAACTTTTAAAATAAAATATTAAAATCTTTTGCGTATTTTTCTTTTTTCTAAATCTAAATTTAAATTTATACATCTATTTGTGTCGACAAAATTCTATCGAGTATGAGATTATTTTTAAATGGTGAACGTGGGCTGGGTACCTTCTCGACAATTTATATAGGTGGTAACTATTATATACGTAACATTGTTGGCTTAAAACCCTCTATCAATATTCCCGGCTTGAATCAAAATGAGTTTTTTATCAATTCCGTGGTTGTGATTGACTAAATTAACTCAAATAAAATCAACATATCAGAGCATAAAAATAAAAAAAATTCAATAAATTCTATGCTCAATATGTTATCGGTTATCATAATCAAGGCAAATAAATTCAGCCATTCATGGAAGTGAACTGACCCGTTTAATGTATGTTAACATTTATCTGAATATCAACGACTCGGAACAAACGTTATATTTACTCACCGTTATTTTACCTAAATTCACGATTTATGGAACTGTGGCCCTCAAAGAAATAGTTCTAACTATACATATCTATAAATTAATACACGATGAGAATAATTTTAATGCATTTTCACTTACTTTCACTGTTTTTTTTTGTTATAGAATATTAATATTAAATTTATTCAAAAACGGTTACATAAAGTTAGAGAGGTCCAGTATTTACCTACATTTTGACCTGTCGTGATACAAAATTTCTCAATCAGTAATTTATTAAACTGCGCTTATTATTAAATTAATTTATAAAACAATCAATGGATCAATAACTGTATCGTTGAGGCCTATTCCAATTTTCCCCACAGAACCTAGTCCTTTCACATCAAATTCATCTCAGCTACCTTCTTCATGTCCTCATATCGTGTGGCTTAGGAGTGCCCTCGGTTTTTCAATTCGTGGTCTCGGCCTTAAAGGCTCTGAAGGTTCGTCTCTCTTACTTTTGGTCGATGTGATCAGTCAATACCTAATCAACAGTGAATTTATTGAATAGCTGATAGAGATTATGATCGAACACCCTTTACAACACTTTGGTTAATTCCCAGATTTACCACTATGGTACCTGGGGCAGTATATGTCCAGACGGCTGGACCCTCTACGAAGCCAGCGCGGTCTGTCGGCACTTGGCATTAGGATATGCCGAACAGGCAGCACAAACTAACTACTTTGGTAACTCAAAGATCGTCCTCAGTGGTGTTAATTGCGAAGGCAACGAAACCAATCTGTTCCAGTGTAATCATGAAGAGTATGGGGAAGTGACTTGTCCTGGAGAAGTTGGTAAGTAAAAAGTATATCTAAACGAACCCCAAAACCCGACAGAACCATGGTCTATAGTGAGACTTCCTAAGTCAATAATCTCACCACCAAAGTGTGGTGTGCATGACCGTTGTCTGAAAGAAACAGATGACTCTAGGACCTTTGCACCTTTACATGTATTGGATCATTCAACTTTTAAGTTTAACTTTTTTAATTTTACTTTCTTAATAATTTAACAGCATTACAGCGTACCACAAGCGCGCCGGTACTTAATTAAGTTATTCCTAAAATTTGTAAAGAAAATCTTGAATAAAAAAATATTCCCTTATTACATTATCCTAATCTATCAGAGCTTTACGTAAAAGTTAGTAAGTTTATCCTTCTGTAGCATAGTGTACCAAAAGATATTCGATTTATTACTGTTTTTATTATTAATGTTATTAATATATTCATGTACTTACATTTATGTAATGGTTAATATATCAGTTTAAGATATTTACAGCCTCATAATACAGATTAGTTCCAACAATTTCCTGCCTTGACGTTTAGTAATATAAACTAAACTTATAATTCAAATTAGCGATGCAAATTGAATCACGTAATTCCCGTGCCTTGCTTTAATAACTAATCTCATTTATCAGTTTAGAACTGTTTAGAGCCCCGCATTCATACAGGGGGTCATAGACTCCATTGTCTTTCAATTTCCTACAAATATAACTTTAGTATCAACCAGCTACTAAGCTCTATGTATTACCATATTGTGATCCCTTTCCCTTTAAATGACAAAGAGAGAGGTTCGTGTTTGAAGTCTTTGTTATGTACATTGAACAAAAATTAGTAAGTAAAGATGGGTGACTGGGTAAGATATGATCAGCACTTAGAGCCCAGTTTCCATATTTGAGTTCAATTTACATTATATTCTATACATTCAATATATTGAACATGTTAAGTAAAATCCTTTTCGGATGTTGGGAAGTAGTATATGTACTCGTATTTAAAAAGTCTGCGTCAGAATTTTTCACATCGCGACATAGGATTAGCAATTACTCTGTATGTAGTATGTTTTTGGTGCATTATGTGTAGAATTCATCACAAAATAGAAAACAGTATTTATAAACATGACTTTTGTCATACACGTCATATTTATTTAAAGTGTTTATTTTAAATATTAACAACTAATTGGTTACCTTAAATTATAACCAATTTTGAATATTGTTGTGTATTATTAGGTTTACTAAACATACTCAATCACAGATGATTGATCCTTAAGAGGTCACAGAGTTTAAAATCTTTAGCATATATTAGAATAAACAAATTCGAACGTATCTACTAAATACTATGAAATTCAAAATGTTTATTTTACGGAATAGGGGGCAAACGAGCAGACGGCTGATGGAAAGCTACTACCACCGTGCCGGCCATGAACGCCTGCAACTCAGGAGTCACAAGCGAGTTGCCGGCCTTTTAGAGCGTACTCCTTACACTCTTTTTTAAAGATTTGAAGATGGTATCCGGTAAAATACCGCAAACGATAACTTGTTCTACAGATTAGTTGTGCGAGGCAAAAAGTGTCTAAAAAAGCGCCCAGTGGTGTAGTGGAGTGACACATATCTGAGTGAAAGAGATGAAAATTTTGGAAAGGTGACGGGAAGTTGCGGCCGGTATTAGTCCGAACAGTTCCGTTCGTATATACGATATAGAAAGCAGAGTGAAGCTGCATCTCCACGTAACAAAAAGAGATCGAGCCGATCGGAGATCTATCGACACTCAACGAGTCGCTCTTAGGTGGATGCGGTTCGGAAGGAGAAGCTAATACTAAGGTGCCCCGGCATAGACATAAGAACAGGATTCCATATTTTCATTTTTTTAGAAAAAAATCCCGCCTTTGGAACAAATATTCTGTGTCGCGGGGGGCTATACAAACGTACATGAAACGGACACAATAAACACCCAGACTCAGAACAACAATTTGTGGACACAGCACACTAGGAAGCGGCGTGGCGACCGCTTAAATCACTACGAAATCCGTGTAGTCAATGCGGTGGGCGGCAACTTGCGCCATAGAGAGTTGGAGTCGGAATGAAATACTGCCTCAATAGGTTCACAGATCATCGTAAATTTGATTTAAAGTTGCTAAAAGTATTGTAATCGTATTCTAAACACGTAGTAAGTGTTACATTAGTATCCTTTTCAATTACTAATAAAATGGGACTCACATTTAAGAAAACAATGAACATATCTTAACTTTGACTAAGTTTCATGCGAGCCTCCACTTCAAAAGGGACAATTGGGTTGGGTAAATTATTTACACACTTGGTATTCTTTCCGAAAGAATAAATTTCCGAAAACTTTTCAAATATAATAGATACCGTAAAGTTAGATTGTAAATTGCTACATAAATGTATCTATTCCACTACGCAAGGATTTAATTCGGGTCAGCGTGTGACGAAAATTTTTATGATAAAGCAATTGAATGGTATATAAGGTAAAGGCAGCATACGAACAAACGGATCAAGTGATTGTAAGCGAATACCGCTGTCGGTGAACATTTGCAGCTCAAGTTACAAGAGTTACAAGTGGGATGCCGGTATTTAAGCACTTGCGGTGATTAAGCATATACTGAGTAACTGTTAATCCTATACCGCGATATAAAAAGTTCTTATGCCGATTAGAAAATATACAACTTCCCAACATTAACCGTTGGGACGCGACCTGCCAGATACAATCACTTCGCCTGGTCGGAGTATCCTCTCGTTGTATCTGTGTATTGGAGCCCCGGGTGGTTGGTTCAAACATACAGATGAAAATACATTAGTAAAATATGGACCAGTCCCACGACCCGTTGTTAAGAGAACTCTCAATTTTAGGTCACGTTGCAGCTGTAGTTTGCACTCACTATTTAGCAGACCTGGTACTAGATACCACTGCCATAGAACGATCAGCTCATCTCCATGACGTGATGATGTTCCAGTTGCAGTGCGCTATGGAAGAGTTCTGCTTGACCAAATCTGCTTACGAGGTATGTTGTCTTGGTTTCCTTACTTTCAGAAACTAAGCCATCTTATTTAAGGACATAATAATATCATCATCATCTTTTTTCTTTAACTTATAATTTCAGTCATTCCAGAATATTTCTTCGAATATATTGAACATTATACTGATTACTAAAACTTCGACTGCACGGATGGCGTAGTGGTTTAAGCGATCACCACGCCGCTTTCTACTACGCCGAGTGTTGTGGGTTCAAATCCCACTTGGGACGACACTTTGATCGTGATCCACAAATTGTTGTTCTGAGTCTGGGTGTTATTTGTGTCCGTTTCATGTATGTTTGCAAAGTCTCCCGCGACACAGGATATATTCCTAATGCGGTTGTCTTTTTTAAGAGAAAAAAAAGAGAACTAAACTTCTGACTACTACCCAACTAATTATATTTACTACATTACCGTCCGTGTGGTGACGGATTAAGAATACAGATTGTCACCACCCCTATTCATCCCGTGGGTGTTGTAAGAGTCAACTAAGGGAAAAAACTACGCAGAACAACAACACTGCAGAGAGAAGGAAAACTTGACACAAACCCTTTTTTTTTTTTTTTTTTTTTTTTTAACGTGTGGAAATCCCCTCGGACCGTCACCCCTCCGGGGTTTGCGGCGGGGTGGTGTGTCGGACTCGGACCGACTAAAACCACACGGTGTGCCACTCTGCGCCTGTAACAGGAGGGATCCGCGAACAGCTGTTGTTAAGACATCCGGACCCCTCCTAGCGCCAGCCCGCTCCTGGTGCGGGCTCCGTCTCAATATTGTTGTTTTCCTCTCTTTAGGCGACGTCCGGCACACGCGGACGCCGCCCCCTCGCGGCTGGCCAAACTAATGCGGGTGGAGGGGAAACCCACCCCGTCCACCCGCGGCCACACTCAGGGCGGCATGAGGCTGTGGTAGGCGGGCCTCCGCCGCCCGGTTCGCCGGCGGCGGATCGGGTCCGAGTGGAGGTCGTCCTCCCGGGCCCTCTCCGCCGCCTCCTTCCGCGAGATTACTACCTCGCAGAAGGTTGCGACCGCGGTAAAACAACTGTCGCTACCGGCCATGGAGCGTACTACGGCCGGTAGCGAGAGATCCACTCCGATGACTGCAGTGAGGGCCCGGAGCTGCGCCGCCCATGCGGGGCAGACCGCCAGCGTGTGCTGGGCCGAGTCCTCACTGCAGTCGCAGTGGTGGCAGGCGGGACTCAGTTCCCTCCTAGCGACCGTGTGCAGGTACTTTCCGAAGCAACCGTGCCCGGAAAGCACCTGCGTCAGTCGGAAGGAAAGGGTCCCGTGCTGCCGCCCTGCCCACTCGGCGATGACCGGCTGGAGAGCCTCCACGGCGGCGAAGCCAGCGCGTGGAGTCTCCAGCCGGAACGACCAACGAGCCATCGTGGCTCGGCGAGCGGCTTCGCGCCACTCGCGCACATCCTCGGGCGGAGGGCGAAATCCGCTCTCCGCCCGGTAGTCAGCCACTCGCCGATAAACTTCGGCGAGCACTTCCGCCTCCAAATCCCACGGGGGAGTTCCGGCCAACGCGCACGCCACCTCCGTCGAAACGGTGCGGTAACCGCGTATGGCTCTGACCGCCATTACCCTCTGAGGGCGCCAGAGGCGTACCCTATTCTGGGCGGTCAGAGCCGCCGCCCACACCGGTGCACCGTACAGTGCCATTGACCGGACAACCCCCGTGTACAGCCGTCTTGTCGCGACGCTGGGTCCACCCATATTGGGCAAAAGTCGCCCTAGGGCAGACGCAGCGCCGACCAGCTTTGGAGCAAGCTGTCGGAAGTGCTCGTCGAAGAGCCACCTCCCGTCGAGGATCAGGCCCAGATATTTCATCTGGGCCCGAACCGGTACGAGGACCGAGTTGACCACGATTGAGGCGCCAGGGGGTGGACCACGACGGGGAACATGAAATAACAGGGCCTCCGTCTTATCTAGGGCCACCCGTAAGCCCAGCGCCTCAATGCGCCCGACCACCAGGGAGACTCCCCCTGTGGCCAGGCGCGCCGCCTCTTGGAAGTTTGCCCCCCGGGCTGTCACGAGGGTATCGTCTGCGTAACAGATTACACCCAGCCCGGGGGGGAAATCGGCGCGAAGGGCCCAGTCGTACCCTATGTTCCACAAGAGGGGTCCAAGAACAGACCCCTGTGGAACACCGCACGACATGGGCCGACTCCTCAAATTACCTTCTCGGTCCTCGTACACGACGGTACGCTCCTCTAAATAGTCTGCCACCAGCCGCCTCAGGTACTTTGGCACCCCATGATAGTGGAGTGCCTCCCTGATGCAGCTGAATGGCAGACTATTGAATGCGTTGGCGATGTCCAATGACACCGCCAACAGCACGCCGCCACAGCTCACGGCCTCTTCGGTCACGGCCCTCAGGCGCAACACAGCGTCGACTGTCGAACGCCCCGCCCGAAAACCAAATTGGGCGTCCGACAGATCGGGGCCCACCTCGCAGAGGTGCCGGACGATGCGGGCAGAAAGAACCCTCTCAAACAATTTGCCCGCCTCGTCCAGCAGCACGATGGGCCTATAGGCCGCGACCGAATCGGCAGGCCGTCCCGGCTTCCTCAATAGGACCAGCTTCCCGCTCTTCCAGCACTCAGGGAAGCGTCCCGACGCCAAGCTAGCGTCGAACACCTCCCCGAGGCGGTCTGCCAAGTGGTTGAGGGCCAGGGCCAGCACTCGGGCCGGTACCCCGTCTGGCCCAGGGGCGGTGTTCTTGGAACGGATCCGTAGAACAGCCGCCCCTACCTCCGAATCCCGGACGGGCGGAACATTTTCCTCCCCGTGCTCCCCGTCGTCTCCGGCCAAGGAGGCCATCGCCGGGGGAGTGTGTTCCGCTCGTTGCGGGAAAAGGCCCTCAACCACTTCTCGCAGGAAGCTGGGCTGGAGAGTCTCCGTAAGGGGGGGGCCCGACGCGCGGAGCTTTTGTCGCACCGCGCGGTAAGGGCGACCCCAGGGGTCACGATTAAGACCCTCCAGCATCTCCTGTCTTTTTTCTTCTTTGGCGCGGCTAATGGCCAGCTTCAGAGTTTTCCGCGCCCGTCGGTACTCCTCATGAAGCAGGTCCTCCTCACCGTCTCCACGGTGACGCCGCCGACTGCGCCGGCGCACGGAGGTCCGCCAGCTCCTGGGAAACCCTATACCAACCCGTCTGACCAGCGTGGTATAGTAGGCCAAAACCTCCTTTCTAAGGAGAGGCTTATGTCCAGCAGTGGACCATTAAAGGCTGTTGATGATGATGATGATGATGACATTTAAAAAAAAAAAAAAAAAAAAAAAAAAAAAAAAAAAAAAAAGGTTTTTTTCTCTTTCTGTTTGCTATAAGTAGTTAAGTAACAAAACATAATACATTCATATAAAGTTTCCTAATATATCATGTACGTTACGTTACCCTAATAGAAACACTTAAAGTTCTTCCAATATTTAATTACATCGCTTCGCTCTTAATTGCAACTAGTAAACCAAAATTAAATGCTTGTAGTTTATACGCAAGTAATTTAAAAGAGAGGTATTTTCTTAAACTTGACGGTATCTTTCTGCTTGAAAGGAGAAGGAAAACTTAAAACAAACCAAATACCAACCCGTCTGGCATGCGAGGTACAGAAGGAAAAACGCTACGTTCTAAGGAGAGGCCTACTTCCAGCAGACTGTCAAAGGCTGTTGATGATGATGATGATGAAACAAAGACATTTGGACTTACTTTACTAAATTTACTATAAATATTTGTCTTTGTATAGCTTGATTTATCCAAATACAATTTATTGTCCTAAATCCTGACCCCAGTCATTTAATAGAATTTTCGTATCAAGGCAGTTTACGTGTGGCTTCATATGGCAAGACTCCAAAAACTTTTAAATTGAGGAGTCCTATTATTTAAACAAAAAAGATATTTCTACATAATCTTCTCTACATAAACTAAATATGTACTTCAAATTTCACATTCTTCCTTGCGCGAAATATATTTCAAACAAAAAACTTAATCATGTTTTTTTGAGTTTCTATCGTTTAAAAGATTCTAAAGTTTATATTAAAATTTCAGATACAAAAAACTAATCCAGATTGGCAATTCGAGACCCGTCGTTTACTCCGCTTTACCGCGTCTTCTCTGAATGCTGGCAATGCAGAATTCAGGCCTTACCTGCCAAAGCACTTGTGGCAATGGCACCTTTGTCATATGTAAGTATATTTCAGTTCATAGTAAATCTAAGTATTTCCGGTATTTCCGGACCGATACCACATTCAAGCCTTAAAGTAAAGAGCGTACTCCCATATCAAAGGCCAGCAATGAGCTGCAGTTGTCCATGTGCAGTTATAATTAGTTATCGTCAGGGGATCAGGGCCTCAATTCTGCTATTTACGCCAAGCCACTGTCATACCACTGACACGCTATTGAGATGCCATCGAGTGGCCATTGGCATCGGTATAAATACGGTAGTTGAAAATATATTACGTTTTTTGAGGAAATTATTTATTTATTTTTATTATAGTAAATTATTAAAGGAAATAAATAAATTAAATTAAATTATTTAAAAAAAATATAATAAAAAGAGATTATAAAAAAAAGAAATAAAAGAAATATTGAAATTAAAAAAATAATAAAAAAATTAAATAAACAAATCATTTCCTTATAATTTGTAAATATATTTATTTTAATATTATTTTTATTTTTTTATGTTCATAACTTATTTATTTCTTTTTTTTTATAATTTTTATTTTTTAATGTTTCATAATTTATTTTTATTTATTTATTTATTTGAACAAGTCCGTGTCAGGGTGAATTGTACTAACATACCTACAATTAATGGAAACCACATTTAACTCGAACTAAACTAACTTAAAAAAATCTTCTGTATTAATAAAATTCTGTTTGTTTGTAAGCGCATCACTTTAAAACGGATATAAAGAATATAGAATACCGGAAAGAAACAGAAGTGTTGTATTTTCATAAAAATAAAATTATAGTAACTTTCAATCAATAACGAATTTATTTTCGTGTATTTGTTTTTCTAGGCACTATCACAGCATGGAAGTGTTTGCAACTTTCGATATAATGGACGCTTCGGGCAAAAGAGTTGCAGAAGGTCATAAAGCCTCCTTCTGTTTAGAAGATAACAGTTGTTTACCAGGCGTTGAGAAGAAGTACTCTTGTAAGAATTATGGGGATCAAGGTAAATATTTTCAAAACATAAATCTACCTAAACTTACTAAATACTTTCCAAAGTGCGTCCTCAGTATTTCTCCATCGCGATTGGTGTCGATCTCCACCTTCATTTCACTTCACATCCTGCCAATATTCCTCACCTCTTTTGCTACTATTCTTGCCACGGTTGCTCAGAATGACAACACTTTCCTTGAGAGTGAATTATACAATTAAATATTTTTTATTTAATTTCTCGAATGATTCAAATTGTTCAAATAGCATTCAAAAACATTTTATTTAAAAAAGGTAATAAACAGACAGAGTTTATTTTAAAAACAAAAATAAGGTTTTGAATTTAGCTTTATAGATCTCGGGTAGGGACCGCGACAGCAGTAGCGAGCGTACGCGCTGATTCTGATTCTGAATGTACATAGATTCATTCGTATATTCTGCAATTTGCATGCTAAAATTATAATTTAATTAAATATAATAATAACATCTTAATACGACCAGCCGTTACGCACATATCTATGTTTAAGTAGGTACGTATTTCCTTTTAAATATAAGTAATATTTCAGGTATATCAGTAAATTGTTCAGACATTTATTATTATAACATCGACTGCCAATGGGTGGATGTTACTGACTTACAACCCGGAGATTATAAGTTTAAGGTGAGTCACTATTCATCTAACTGAAGAATCTACAAGGAATTGCGTTCTACATGAATCCACAACTCCGAATAAAACAATATTATCCTATTTAATTTGCCAATAATATTGACTGACTGTAAAAAAAACGTAGAACAATAGTTTAATAAAGACAACCTTTTAGATTTGTATGTCTGTCTACTCACTAAAATATCCAAAAGTTTGCTGTTGGTCTTATTTTTATTAAAATAAATTCTTGAAGAAGGCTCATAGACATAGTGTTATTTTACTCTTGGATGTTGCATTGATTGAATTTATTAACACTTTTGTTATAATTTTAGGTAGCAGTAAATCCTCACGCCAGAGTACCTGAACAGCAGTACCACAATAACGCTGCATCATGCCAGTTGAGACTAGCCGAAACCTATGCCGTAATATATGGTTGTCAGTTAGAAAGACCTTGAATCTTTTACATTTCAGATAACTTTCTAACTCTTCATTACATCTATAATTATTTTACGGGATTTAGTAGTTAATAAATACATACCTTTAAAAACTGACTGACTTACCCTGTGACCACGGCCAGTGCATCCTGGATAAAAGTTAGGAATTTCACAACATATAAGTACATGCAATTTTATATTAAATTATGGAACTTGAAAGATTAAAAGTTAGTATACATCACTGAACCTAATTTTGTATTTAAGATATTCGTTTAAATTTTGTTTCATTATTAAATTATAAAACTATTTCTTGGTTATTACTGATGAAGTATGCCAATAAATCATGGAGAACGACTTACTGGAAACAAAAAGAAGTTATTATAGAGTGCTCTAAACTGCTGCACTGCGCTCCAAAACTAGAATAATGGATGTAGGAAGCAAGGTTGCATGCCCTAAATGAGTGTGTAATAGATATAAAAGTATTAAATACATAGACTCCATACCAAACATGAGATTGGGCGGATCACGCAAGAAGACACCGTCAACGCTTGCCTAAAAATTAATGTAGTGGTAAACTCGAGGCAAATCATTTAGGGTTCTTCGAGGTGGCCCTTGGACATCGATATATGTAAAGATTCTTTACCTAGTAGTGGGGTACTAGGACAAAATTAACTACATATGACACCATTATTAAAATCTACGTCGTTGAAATAACGAAATAGATATATGGCCTTTTTGTATATCTAGTACAGAGTGCCAACACCCCTATTCATCACGTGGGTGTCGTAAGAGCCGACTAAGCGAGGAAACTACACAAAATGTTGTCCTGTGTGGTTTACTCCCTTAGTCGGCTCTTACGGCACTGCAAAGGGAAGGAAAACTTGAAACAAACCCTACACCAACCCGTCTGGTCAGCGTGGTAAAGTAGGCCAAAACTTCCTTTCCAAGGAGAGGCCTATGTCCAGCTGTGGACTGGTAAAGGCTGTTGATGATGATGTATATCTACTGTTGCTATAGCATAAGGGGCAAACGAGAAGACGGGTCACCTGACGGAAAGTCACTATCACCGCCCATTGACACCTACAACTCAAAAGTCAAAGGCGTTGCCGCCATTTCAATCCTCTCGTCTTATGTATAGGGAGACGAAGAGGGGTTTGGGTTCTGTAAGGCCGTGGTATCCCTCCGGTAGAGCAGGCCCAAGCATGAAATTCTCTCATAATAATATATCTCTCATAAATAGTTTCACACACGGCCGTCTGATCGTAAACTAGGCAGTGCCTGTACTATGGTAACCACAGTGCTGATCAACATACTTATATATTTCTAAATACATACACATTATAGATAAAGTACATATAGGATCAAGGCAAGAAAGAATTTAAACTAAATAAATTTATTACTTTAAATTTATTTGACTTACGATATACTATCACAATGTCATTCAAGAATCAAGAAACAGGTCGACACAACCATTTCCAAAGTATGAACGATATTTCTTAATTTATTATACATTTTAAAATTGCATCTACAAATACTATTGATCCGATTCTTAATTTATCCTCGTATACAACAAAAACTTCGAAAGTGCTTCTCCAAAAGTTGTATTCGAATCTAATTACATAATTTTAAGCTACTATTTACAATGTGAATACTAACAATAGTAAAAACCATTATCTAAATAGTTAAATAACTATATGTTTTAGTATGAACCTATTCTAGTGTCGTAATCCTTATTTTAATACCTCGTAATAAAAAAAAGGAATTCTTGTCGATATTACATTGTAATGACCCACTAACCCGTGTCAACAACCTACACCGGTAAAAAAAATAAAAATATTTTCAAAAAATGTGATTTTCTTATTTGTTACACTATTTGCAAACATATTAAAAAAATACACAATTAAATAAGTTCGTAAATACTTTTTTACTTAAAAAAAGCGTTATCGTAAATAAAATTAGCTTTCTATGCTCTTTTTTCCCATGCCATTAATACTGACATAGCTAAAACCCAAAACTACCTTAAACAAGTCTTAAACTACTATCCAATAACTATGGCATACTAACTACAATTGAAGTTTGAGCAACAATCAACTTATCTTACAATCAATCAAAAATATTGCGAAATACAAAGTATAAAACGTTACAAAAAAACTGATGACTTGAATTGATTATCATTAAAATTCAAGCTATAGAAAACTAGTGAAGGATAAAAATGTCAAAATTAAATCAAATAAAAAAGCAGCATCAAAACCAAAACTTTACAAAATTACTTGTAAAACAGACACGGTCACGAATGGCGCCAGAATTATGCCTTGTGGCATACCCATAAACTATTAAATAGAATTTAACAATGATTTCATTTTTTTTTATGTCTTATCAACAAGACACGCACAGCTTATTAAATTTGTAATCTTTCGCATTAGTTTTGACAAAGCTTACATATAAAAACTTAAATACTTAAAAAGTTATAAAAACTTCAACCCTTTTTGAATTTGAGTAGAAGAATACTTGTGGTTAAGTAAATAGCAATCCAAACAGTTGTTGAGATGAATCCAGAATACACTGACGGTCTTGCGATATCCCAACCTCTCTGCAACATAGAACGCAAAGATTCCGTGGAAAGGGTAAGAGGTAAGACATAGCTGACCCACTGCAAGACCATGTGCATACCTAAAAGAAACAGAAAAATTGCAATTTTAGAAAATAACATCGAAATTTAAAATTAACATACATCATGTAATAATAGTATTCAACGAAATTGAACGTGATATTTCTTTTTAATTTACACAATTACATTTAAAGGGTAGGTTGTTCTTTTGAAGGAAATAAAGTTATATGCATAATAATGAGAGTTAAATTTGTCTTAAAATAGTTCGACTGTGAGATGTGACCTTTTAAACTTTTAATGAAACTTTAATATGTGTAGATGTTAAACTAATTATTTTCATAAAATTTGTCTTCAAAGTTGATGTTGATTAAGTAAATATGAAATAAATGTAATACTAATAACTAATTAGGTTTGTCCTTAACTCTGACCAACGCGAGCTGTTGTTTATACTTCTTTCATCTATATAAGTCATCTTTTCTCTATTGGTGTAAATTTCAATACCCCACTTTTCCAATTTTTCCACCTATTCCCTAAAATGCCCAGTTTAAGGCAACAAACTTGCCCCTATAACGTAAGAGGGACTAAACTTAAAGAATGCAAAATTTTGCAGTGTTTGATACAACTTTGCCTCCCCTTTTGGCTATATAAGCGTGAGGGTATCTATGAAGTGTGTTTTTGTGGTTTTGCTATACATGTTTTAGGAGAATATAAAACTAATATTACCTTCAATTGGCCAAATGATTCCACACAACAGCACCATCGGTAAGAATGACCCTAAAGCCAAATACGTAGCCGTTCTATCAGTGTCACAAAGGCACGATACGACGAAACCTGTTGGATCAAAAGAAGAATTTATAATTAAACAATTGTATGATCTCTAATATTTGAAAGTCATAGTTTAAGTATAAACAGTATAGTTTCATGAAATCATTCTACCACTCGTAGGTTTATGTAAGTGAATATTTGACAATAAACCATGAAACCACCTATCACCAATCTTTTAGACAAATATCAGTATAAAGTTCAGCGACTTACATCAAGAAACTTCTAGATATAAATACTATTGGACAAAATGGAGTGGCAGCACGCGGTCTTAAGATAACAACAATGTATTACTTTATGAATACAAAGTGACAAATATTTTTACAACTTTTATGTTAGGAGTAATAATATTTATAATTTTCTATTATATATAGTATGCTCAGTGTCTGAGTTTTTAGGTAACCTTATGCGACCAGGATCATTGCTTTCAACAGTGTCCAGATTTCAAATATAATGGCAGTCCTTAATAATACCCGTATTTGTTTTTGGTTTATGTTTATCACAATATTTGAGCTAGAAAACGGCAGACTTAAAATTTTCAAAGGGGTTATTTCTTTGAAAAGTTTCAACGTTATGTAGATAGACTTACCGAAAGTCATTCCACACAGGCCTGTGATGACAGTCAGAAAGGTAACCCATCCTACGGGTCCTTTCATGGTGAGACCAAAGACCAAGAAGCCAAGAATAAGTACCATGACTGACTGTAAAATCATAATCAGCATCTGGACTATTACGTGTGAGAACAGGATCTCAGTACCTGGAAACAAAGAAAGTAAGTTGAACTCTTTAATTTTACATAGTTTGTACTAAATTTGTTTTTCACTAGCTAATACCGGCGACTTCGTCCATGTGGAATTTGATGTATCTAGACTATAATACCTACGTATGTTTTTAGAAAAATGTAAATATTGGATTTTGTCCCTAATTTCCAATTTTTTCTTTGTGAACCCCTAAATATTTTCGGCTAAAAATTAACCTGAGTGGTAGGCAGGTGGCAGGAGTATGCTAGTAAAATGTTATTACTATCGGTCCAGCCGTTTCGTACATTAAGAAAAGCCGGAAAAAACAACAGTCAAAAATTAAAAAACTGATTTTTAGACATAGCATATAAGTATCGTGCAAATAACTGTAAGAACTTAAGAAAACGATTATTTTGACATTACCAACAGACTTTTTTTTTTTTTTTCCGTGCGGATATCCCCTCGGATACCACCTGTCGGTGGCATGTCGGACTCGAACCGACTAAAACCGCACGCCGTCGCCGGGTACTTATAGCCGGGGAACCAGGTATACCCTAGAAAGGAAGTCCCTGGTGCCCCGACATACCTCGGGTCATCTACAGACGAGTAGACGACCCCCCCTGTGTGGGAACCCCATGTTCCCTGTGCTCCCTGGAAGCGAGCGCGCTTCGCAACGCGCTCGCCGCCACCCCGGCCTGCTTCTGCTAGGGTGACAGATGGCCTCACCTGTCACCCCCAGGCCTGCGCTTATGGAGGACGGAGGTCGTTCTGCGACCTCCGGCGCCTGAGTCGCCTGCGGTGCCTGGCCCGTGCCCGAGCCTGGCGGGCTGGGAGAGTTCTAAACCTCTCCCGGTCCCGCTCCGCCGTCTCCTTCGCGAGCATAACTTGCTCGCAGAAGGAGACGGCAGAGTTCCACGCACTCTCGCTCCGCACGATAGCCGCAATCAGGCTATCGAGCGAGAGAACTCCCACTCCGATGGCCGCCACGAGGTCTCGCCTCTGCTCAACCCACGCCGGGCACTCTGCCAGCGTGTGGAGAGCCGTGTCCACGGTCTGGCCATCGCAGTGGTGGCACTCAGGCGTTGGCTCCTTGCGGATCAGACACAGGTGATCTCCGAAACATCCCTTCCCAGTGATCACCTGCGTCAATCGGTAGGTATGAGAGGGTCCCGTGACGCCTCTCGAGCCAATCCTCCATAACGGGTCTTACCGCCGCAATGACGGCGTGCCCGACATTACTAACAGACTAAGATTTTTTTATTTGTAGATATTGATTTGGTTTTTATATAGGTAATTAGAATTTTTTCATCCATGTTTATATTATAAATGTGAAAGTGAGTTTGTTTGTTTGTTAGCTTTTACGCCTAAACCACTTAACCAATTTAAAAAAATATTTTACCAATGGAAAGCTACATTATCAGCAAGTAACATATTCTACCGCACCGACATACAAGCTATTAAATATGTATATAGTTATTAAATATGTATTACCCGTTTAGACCCTAGGTACAGCAGTAGGGTTTAAAAGGTTAAAACACACAAGCATACTTTGTTTTTATGTTTGGTGGATCTTTTATTCAAAATTATCATGTTTTATATTTCTCATTCGTGTTTCGTGTTATGAAAAAGATTATTAATAAATCCCTTAATAATTTCATAAAAAATACAAGACTCTTTTTAAATAAACTGTAAATTTTATTGAGGCATATAATCAAAACACTGATATAATATCAAGTGTTCGTAATTAAAAGAATGATTGTCAGCCGCCATATTGGTATAATAGCCTACTCAAACAGCTTTTATGAGACCAATGTATTATGATATCTTTATACCGACTGTACTGACAAAATTACCTATTAAACCAACCAGTAACCAGAATATTAAAGATGTAGAAATAATTTAAATATGGCGTACCATACGTTCAAGCACCTACGAATATAGCAGTTAAAAAGATATAAAATAATGATTACGACAAATCATTTTCTATTTGCAAAATTTTAGATAAGCAGGAAATAAAATAGGGTACTCAATACACAGTACACACAAGGCATTTTGGTTCTAAACTAGGCTGAGACTGTGCTATGATAACCAGACGACTGATATTTTTTCTTTATATTCCCAAATACATACATATTATAGATGATTGTTTTATGTCTGGGTGTGACTCAGACACAGAAAAAACTCATCACAAAATTATTTACACTGGGTGGGAATCTAACCCAGTTTAGCAGCTACCTCCAATTTAGCAGTCAGGGTCACTAACCACTAGACAAATCAGCCCATCAAATTTCTACTACTATGTTCAAAACATTAAGCCTTAGTAAATTTGTAATTAATGCTAGTTACTGACTAGTCAAAAATCAAGCTTGATAAATACATAGATGAAGACTTACCAGTAATTCCAGAAACCAGTGATCGTTCTAGAATTCCCTCGTTTCGTTCAGCCAACATAGAACCTGACGTCAGAGCGACTGCCAAGAAGAAGACGATGCTGTAATAAAATAAAAGGATAATTTAAAACATTAAAACAAGTGTTTCACTTTTACTGCTAAATTAATATTTATACCAATGTAATTTGTAACGATTACAACCAGTATTGGGACTAATCCCACCCACACGCCCACCACTGTTACTCCTGTACACCAGGATCCACAGCAGTGACCCACGAACACACCGAGTTATGACACTCGGGAAGTCCCAGGAAGAAATTAAACTGTCTTGGAACCCGCAACGAAATTAATCAGAAGAAAATTGGAGGAGTTGGAAATACAGTAAATCCACTTCCCTCCTTAGCAAAGCGAGAGACAAAATGAAGTGAAAAGGGTATACACCCTTTTAAACAGGGAAGCACCACGGCCACAAATATTACGGGTCCTACGTGAGCTATGTTTGATTTCTATAATATGTATGGCAGAATCGCCTAAACGCACGGAAATTCACCCTAGTTGACACAAGATCCCCATAGTATACCGCCCCAGATGTCACCTGCAAGCTATTCAGCATTATATTACGTTCATTATACCAAAGACTACATTCCCAGAGGATATGATGAGCAGACTGTTCATAGTGAGAGTTAGGTGTTGAGCATTGACACAATGGTGACTCGACTAATTTAAATGAATAAAGCTTGCTCTTAAAGTTACCATGACCCGTAAGAAATTGGGCGACACAGTGATCCACCTCAAGCCATATCCTCGACAACCGTTTGCGAACAGATGGAAAGAATTGGTAAAGATGGCGCCCCTTGGATGATTCATCCCAGCGTTGTTGCCATTCGTCTATGAGGTCATTATAGACATCGGGCTGCTGTTGAAGCAATCTTGTAATTTTACCGCGATCCCGCGCGCCCAAAAAATCGCATTCCATGTTTTGTTGCCTTGAATAGTATATGGCTGCACGTCTCTGCACCTCGAGATCGACCGGAAGCACACCCGCCAACACCGGCAAAGCCTCAGTGCTAACCGTCCTATATGCCTTACACAAGAATATCAGTGCAAGTCGTTGGCCTTGTAACAGTTTGCGACGGACAGCGCCTACGGTCGCCCTATCGGCCCATACAGGTGCACCATAGCACATAGAACCTAAATAAGTAGCTCCGTATATGATCTTTAATGTATTAAATGATAGACCCCATGTCGCAGTTGATATCCTTGTCAATGCACAGAAACTCTTTTTAGACTTTTCATTAACTATTTTAATATGTTCGATAAATGAAAAGTTTCTTTCTAAAACTAATCCTAGATAACACACTGTAGTTTTATTTTTTACAGTAACATTGTCAAATCTAATGCTCGGCGGTGATTTGAGGTTACCTTTTAAAAGTAGCTGGAAGGTTTTGTTGGGTGCAAAAGTTAAGCGATTACGTTCACCCCATTGAGATATCAAGTTCAAACATCTATTGGCTAATCTCTCAAGCCCCGCCCTAGTATCAGATTCCACCAGTAATAAGCCGTCATCAGCATACGCGTTCAGAGTACATCCGGATGGTATTGGTATCGTAAGAAAATCGTCGAAGCCGATATTCCACAAGTATGGACCTAGCACCGATCCCTGAGGACATCCCATTGTAAGCGCCTTCGACACAGAATGATGACCAAGTCTTAGTTTAGTTGTACCTTGTGAAAAGTACGAAGAGATAAGGGAATAAATATTTTTAAAGCACCCCCGTGATTTTAATTTCAGCAACAGCATGGGCCACCATGCGTTGTCGAAGGCGCCAGATATATCTAAGAAAATAGCCAGCACGTATTGAAATTTTGACTCTGTGACAAACTTTCTAACCGATATAACAGCGTCAGTTGTCGATTTACCCAACGTAAATCCAAATTGTCTATCATGAAATTTGACTCCACCTGGCAGAAGCCGGGGCACTACAAGACGTTCTAAAAGCTTTCCTAACGATGGTAATAATGTGATTGGTCGGTAGGATTTAGGATCATCCGGTGGCTTGTCGCCACTTTTTGGTATTATACGAATATTACCGCACCGCCATATACGAGGAAATATTCCTTCAGCAATGCAACGTTTAAAGACAGTGAAAATCGTGTCACCCGAAAGTTTACAAGCTTCTTTTATCATTTTGTTAGATATTTTATCATCGCCCGAAGCCTTGTTTAGCGGCAAGGATCTAATGATACCGAGAAATTCGTCTGAAGATGGTAAATCAGACATTGGAGACAGTGGTGGTTCGATGGCCCACTGCCTGATCTGTCGGTGATGATCAGTGTCGTTTTCCGGTCGATCGTCAGGTACGAGTGAGTCTAAAAGATATTCTGCTGTTTGTTCTACTCCTGTGGTATATCTGTTATTAATTTTGATGTTCTGTATGTATGCAAGGTCGATTGATCCATTTGCCTTAAATTCGTGATACAAAGGTGACCACGGGCCCTCTCTATCGAGTTTATCAACAAGTTTCTGAATTAAGTTTCTCTTGGATTTTTCCACAGCAGCTCTGTAGTGGGACCTGGCAACTCTAAGAGCAATGAGAGCATTGTTGTACAAATCTCCTGTTACGTTATGTTTTTTAATAGTGTTTAATTTTCTACGAGCTTTCCGGTAGCTTCTACGTAGTTCGGCTAATCTATCATTCCACCAATCACATCTACGAGTGTTAGTGATAGATCCGCGACCAATAGTTACATCAGCGCAGTATGTAAAAGTTTCTGATAGTATTTCTGCGCTTTCCTCAGCTGATAAACTACTGCGACTAAAGTCTTTGGTATGAGTTGCAAAGAGTGAACCAAACAAAGCCCAGTTCGCACCTTTAGTTTTATATCTAAAATTATAGGGAGCCCTTTGTGGATCCTGTGCAACCCTTGGTATGAATTCGTACACGATCAAGCGGTGATCACTACAGGATGCGTCCGGAAGGACACGCCATCCGGATATCGAGACGTCGCCGCGCGTAAGCGTCACGTCAATAGAAGACTCACCCATTGGGTTGCAAAAAGTTGGTGGTGCATCGGGGGTATTGTGAATAATAAGATTCATTTCCGCAATGAAATCTTCAACCGCACAACGTCGAACCGTGTCGGTTGAACGCAACTTGCCATACCATAATGAAGATGACGCATTGACATCAGCGCCAATGATAATTTTATGTCCCACGAGGAACTGCAAGACGTAACGTAAGTGATGTAAGTGAGGATCAATAGGATGTGAATATTGAAAATTGCAACATATATTCCAGCCTGCGAACGGCAGTCAAGCTGTACTACATTACGACGCAAGTGAGCGCTCTGATATTGTTCTTGTAAAAGGACAATGTCTAACTTTTGTTCTAAAATTAAACGGTCTAATTCTGATGTAGCTATTTTATCGTTATGAAGATTTAACTGGCCTATCGAAATATTATTCATTACTTAGTAAGTTACTCTTTTAACTTTTTGTTTTTTTTTTTTTTTATAAACTAAGTTAAACTATTCAGTAATTGGTATTTAATATTAGCTGTTCCAGTTTTAATTTGTATGTGGCACAGTCGTATGAGCCGCATCGATGGTCAGATGGTTTTTTGAACCGCTTACACTGTGCGCACGTGGGCTTAAAATCTGGTGTGTCTTTATCTGGACAAGCTCGCGTTTCGTGTGCGGCGGCGCAATTAGCACAAGTAGGGGTTTTTATGGTGCAAAACTTTTGTACATGACCGAATTGCTGACAATTTAAGCAACGAACTACTTCTATATCGTCTATGAATCTACATGTGGCCCAGTCTATATAAAGTTTATCTTTTGTGTTGGCTAGATGTTTCCGAACTGCTGCCTCTAATTCTAAGCCTATCCATTGACGCCCATTTTCTAGTTTACGATGCCTAACAATTTTGGTTGACTTAATAAAATCGTTCTCACTTAATTTTAATTCGTCCTTGATATTCTGACGGTATAAGGCTGTTAGGAAGGCACGATCTTCCATAGAACCTTGTACGTCTTTTACAATTATACGGGGCCTACGGCCTTTCGGTTTTTCTAAGCGCAACCCTACTGATTTAATGGCGTCCACAGATTCCAGTTTCTTAAGCTGCCGTTCGTTAGCTACACGTAACACGACGCCTGCCTTAGAGGTTTTTTTAACGCCTACAATTTGAAATCCCTCATCGCTCGGTTTAATAGCCTTCATGAGAGCTTGTTTTGTTGCTGACGAGGTCGCATAGTCCGCTAAGCGTTCCGTAGTGGGATAGGCAATAACACAAGGCCTAGGAACGCGCGCTTCAGTAGGTACCGGGCACGGAGCAGATTTAGGTGGTAATCGAAGCTTAAGTTTGTCCGCGTACGTTAAACTCGTTTTTTGAGTGGCGATACCCTCCATTTGTCGCTCAAAATTCGCTAACTTCGTTTCGTTGCTAGAGGATTTTATTGCTAACAAAGATACGATACCGGTAATTCGTTGAGTAAAACCAGTAGGTTGTATATCTCAAAGTTACGGTATTGTAATGAACATAACCGGATTTGTGATTGACTGATAATGGGTAGAATCTGACTTAGTATACTATCAATGTTTACCCACTCCTAACAGAAACAATAAAGCCAGCAAAGCCCTAGGTGAAAAATTATATTAAATACATATGACATTTCCAAATCTAGACACCTCTCCGATAGATATAGATACAATAGGGTAGTACAGGAACACCCTGGTATCCTGACGTAACTCGGGCCATCTACATCGGGTAGACGACCCCCTCCTTTGTTTTCTAGGGTATACCTGGTTCCTCGGCTACGGGTACTCCGAGACGGTGTGCGGGTTTTGGTCTGTTCGAGTCCGACATAATCACCCCACTGGTGGGTGGTATCCGAGGGGAGTTCCGCACGAAAAAAAGCGTAGTACAGGAACCAATGCACTTGTAGCCATTTCTTGACATTAGGGATGTCAAGAAAATGGCTACAAGTACATTGGTTCCTGTTAAGCTTTTACAACATTTCCTAATACTTCTGTAAATCCTATAATTTTTATGGCTCAAACAGGCCAAGGTGTCAATTTTACTAATCAATAAATTTGGGATAGTTATTAATCGTAATATTATATCGTACTTACGTTAAAATTACGCCGGGTCCAGCAAAATCAGTAAAGTTCGGTACATCTAGGCCGTAAATAGGTTTGTTGAACTGAAACAACATATTTGATAGTAATATTATGTAAATACTCGCACAGTTGGATATTTCGAGATAGGACAAAATCGCTTTCAACCGTTGACCTTTGAAAATTCTGATTCATTTTTCTATTTAAATTGGAATAATATATTACTTCTGAGAAAAAGTTCATCTCATTACTAGCCATTAAGTTTAGCTACAAAACAGATAGGATTATAAGAACTTGGAGTAGTGACAGTTCATATACGTACGTGTACAGGTATAGACATGATTCTGGTGGGTAGTTCGCAGATGGTAGCTAGATGTTCTGCTGCTTCCATGAACGCGAGCTGTAGATCTCTGCTCAACATCCATTCCACTTGCTTATCTGTTGGAAAATTATATATGTACATTAAAAATCAGTGGTGCCCTTTCTACAAATTTACATGAGACCATAAGGGAATTACAGCCTTTCAAATGAATAAAAGAATTCGAAATTGGTTCATAAATGACGGAGTCCTGACATCCTGACGGGGTCCGTGTGGTGACGGATTAAGAATACAGAGTGTCACCAGCCCTATTCATCCCGTGGGTGTCGTAAGAGGCGACTAAGGGAACAAACTACGCAGGACAACAACACTGCAAAGAGAAGGAAAACTTGAAACAAACCCTATACCAACCCGTCTGGCCAGCGTGGTGTAGTAGGCCAAAATCTCTTTTCTAATGAGAGGCCTTTGTCCTGCAGTGGACTAGTGAAGGCTGTTGATGATGACATAAACATAAAACGAAAAACCCCGTAAACAATTAATTCAAGAAAAAAACTCAATTGCCCTTGAAAAATTGCCGCTAAAACGCTCACAGTTGATTACATCGGTATCCAGTTAACTAACAGTTTACCACTGAATAGCACAAGTAAAAAGTATGAAATCGACAGTAAAGAGAATGAAAAGATTATGCAATTTTAAAAAGACAAATCTTATTCTGCTTCTTATTCTTAGCAGACTGGAATAGTTGTAGGAACCATAACAGGACGCCTAGCCCTGAACCGACAACTATTCATCATTAATGCAACGGACAGTCTTCTTTGCAGAGGATGCCTGAAAGCATAAGAAACGGCCGCCCACGTATTCTGCGCTTCTGGAAGGAGCTTGGTTGGCTCACCTAGCTTACCTCTTCTAGACGCATAAAGGACCACTCTCGAGTCTAAATGTATATAAAATGCTCAGGACAGCGCAAGACGTCTGTGATTACACAGATATCAGTTTAAAACTATATTTAGCTCAGCTAAGCATTCTAACAATTGTAGAGATTCTCCTATACTAAATGTCGCCGTATTAGAACAACTAATTTACTTTAACGACAAACGACTATACCTTCCTATATTTAGATAAAGGCCCGACCCTTTGCTTTCAGTAAACAAGGAAACAGGAGGGGTATATTTGTTACCCCTCAGCCATAAAGTCACCTCACTTGGAAACCAGTGTTCAGTAATAGCACAATTAATTTTAAGAAAATACAAAACTGGGACGAGGCCCCCTGATTGACTATTTAATTAAAGGTACAAATATATCACAACAAGATATAATAGGAACAAAGAAATCCCTTATAATCAAAGTAATATATAGTTCTTGTTTGAATAAGTTTGTTGTCGAAAATGTGCCTTCAAAATATTACGACTTTCCAACCACTGTTCGAAGTTAAGTGTTTACGTTTTGGCGTAGGTATTTAATACGATAAAATAATTCAGCTACACTAACGAAGATCCAATAACATCCAATTATTTACAAGTAGCTAGATAAACACAAACAAACTTGTTAGGTCATCTTTATGGCGATTTTAGTTTGTTATTTTATTTGTAAAATTAAACAATACATTGAGACTGAAGATAGAACTACATTTTATGCGGTATGGTGATGCGTTTGATGATAACTGACACGATAATTCTGCGACTGCAATTGTTTCTATTAATCTAAGGGTATCTTGTAGAAACATGGATTGGCTAAATGGGCGTCTACATGGGCGTCGTGCGATCCATGGCCCTTTATGTGGCACCCCAGAGCTGGCGGGTCAAGTTTAAATAAGTCATGATAAACATGAGTTCCTTACCTAGTAAACAAAACATTAAATTTGATCTTAACAACCCTTAATGCTTCAAAGTTTTAGTATTAAAGCAATTATCATCGTTGCACAACCATTTAAAACTTTACCAGAGTTGTAGTACTCAGTAGACAAAAGTATTATGATAAGTGGTCATTTTACATTTAAGTTGAGGCGCTTTTAAACCGTTAACCGTAACTGAGATTGTTACGTAAACTTCCCAGCGCAAAACTTCGTTTCAAGTATGGAAAATAGCTTCTACATCAGACAGTTTCAGAAGTTAAGAACTATAAGAAATCACGAAAGACGTTAAGTTTCTAGCAAGGACCGAACCTTTTTTTGGTAAAGTTTGTATAAGGAAAATTGTTGGTGACATAGGCAGTGTTCTTAAAAATAAGATTTATTGTTTAAACGATTTCGTCGTAACAAGACTGTGAACGGGTGTTCGTGATGGCTCTGAATGATGGTGTGACTCGTCACGATGTTGATATAAAACTCATTTTTATTACGCCTTCGAAATCTTAGAGCATATATTATGATGACATGACCATATGCATATTTTATATTAGACACAACACCTTATGATGTCATCTAACGCAAGTCTAAATATAATAAACGCACATAGATACAATAAACAAAGTTTAGGTAATTTAATTTAAACAGTAATAAACAGTACGCATTACAAAACAGCGTTATTTTTTTAAATCAAGAATCGAGAAAATAATGTACAACTAGAGTTTCGATGCTATCTGTATTATTAATATATGACGGAGAAACGGTAACTGGGTCGTTTTTATAAAGAGTAACGTCAGCTAAAATGAAATATAAAGGTAGACTTTTACAATTAGATAATAATACCTTGAGGAAACCCAATGTTTTGCCTCTCACTGTACTATGAAGCATTCCTGAGTGAAAGCAAATTTTCTACCGATATTTTCCTTAAAACTCTGGAACGCATAATCCTTTGCGAAACGAAAATTTATCGACATCAAGGGTTATTAAAAACAAGATAACTTTTAAACATTACCAAATTGTTTTTTTTTCCAATTAATATTTAAGTATTTTATTCACTGAAAAATATTTATTTACATAAGACCAACGCAAGGGATTAAGTGAAGAAAAAAGAAGAGGACTACGGAGAGAAACTAAAATTTCTATTTAAGTTGACTTGACGTCTGTCGGCTGAGATAATTGTGAATGTTTTACAAAAGTTAAACAAGATTAGTCAACAATTCTAAAACATATAATACCACATAAAACAAATATAAAAGCTTGTGATCTTTATTAATTTCTCAAAACACTTCACATAAAAAGAATGTTTTTTCTCAAAATATCATAAATTAAATATAATCGACTGATAGAAACTCCTTACGATTGTGAGACAATATTTTTCCTCTGGTGTTCGTGCGGAAAATTCTCCATTTTTACCTTTATTTAAGCTAAATTTGTAGCACTCGAGCAGAATTAAGACAACTGGCACTTATTCAACAAATAGAGGTCGTAAAATGGGCTTCAAGGAAGCTCCGGTAACGGAACTAAGAGGCGCAGAATCAATGATTTTGTTATTAAGTCTGTGTTTATTCTTGGCTAGTAATGTAGATAATTATTATATCGCACATATAAAGTCAAATATTATATACAACGTGACGAAATCTTCTGATGTAAATGTGTTTAGAGAAATATATTGTATCAGATATAGAACTACAAAAAATTTGTAATTGCTTACAAAATATAAGTAGAAGCTCTCTTAGTGTATATATCTATTTTTTATTGCTCAAGCTGTGTCTAAGTCTTAGTTCGATTCAAGTTAAAGGCATTTTTTTTTCATATTTACAGTAACAAATTACTAAATATAAGATTTACAATTAGATACTCAGATACCCTTATACGTATGTACATTAAATATATTCGATTATTTAGAAGCGTTGTAACTGTGACTTGTGACATTCTGATAGATTTCAAAGATGGAAAATCTAGATAAAATAATAAAAAGATATGTGAAGAAAAGCAGCTTTACTTCAATAAATAAATATACATATACACTTTCGTAAGAAATAAGCATCTTAATAATAATAAAGGAAGTGTGTAAATGTAAGCAGAATCAGCGTTTAAAACCTAAGATTTTACAACTCGACGGTAAAGAATGTGACACATCCCACGTTATTACGTGTTGAAGAAATCAACAAAAATATCTTGGAATGCTAATGCGAATTATAACAAAGTAGGGTTTGTTGTGCTATTTGGCATGCATGAATAGAGTTCTGATTATCGTGTGATTCTTATGTTATAAATTTCTAATGTTGAAAATAAATTTGTTTGTTATACTTTTACAACTGAACTACTCAACTGATTGACATAAAAGTATAGTATAGTATAGTATAGGAGTACAGTGTATAAATTGTTTATATATAAATAATATACACAAATGAGTATGTGTTAGTAATGTTAATTGTATTGTGCTTGGGTATAGGGTCTGTGTGTAATGAAGTTTTAATCACGAACCTATTAATTCAAAAACTTATTTTAAGATTTTTGAAATCCTTAATTTGGAAATCCAAACTGAATTCGCCTTGCAATTTTTTTTCTTTTTAAAAAGACAACTCTGCCCTAGGAATATATCCTGTGTCGCGGGGGACTTTACAAACATAGATTAAATTAAACGGACACAAAGAACACCCAATACTTGGAAAGGCAAAACTATTCGTATCTGGCCAAATCCATTCAATTTTGAACTCTATCGCCTACATTGTAAATTATATTTTTAATAATATTGTAGATAAGGATTACTTGATAAAAAAAACACTTACGCTAAAATGAATGGTTTCCACTTATGTATGTAAAAGAGGCAAATGCCGCCAATTGCCGTCAATCGACACTTGCACTTTAGGTATTAAAGATGGGAGTACCTATTCCGAAAAATTGATGTATGTAGGTAGGTCAAAAGAAAATACAATAGAAGGAAAGGAGCATTGCTTACACGGATAGATAGGTCGAGCAGGTTAGGATATTCCAAAAAGGCAGTTTCCGGAATTCCATGCATTCCGACAAATTATATGTTATTTAATCATTCTAAAAATATTTTAGTATTTCATTCTCCAATAAAAATATAACTCATGAACTCGCTTGATACATAGCAGAGAAGTGCGGTTCCATGTAAACCATATTTGTGTCTACAGACCCCTATTTGAAATTTAAGTTAATAACATCTCACGGGTTTCTAATACTCTTGGAAATTTACCAAAACAAACCCAAAGTACGTGATCCTTTTGTATAATCCTATGATGATAAACAATGTCAAAATACATAAACAAGGTGATAGTTTGGATAAGGACAGACATCGATGAATAAATTGTGTAGAAAGAGTAAAAGAAATAGTATTTATGTAAGTGTATATTTTAAGAAAATAGTAAACATAAGTGTTTTAAATCTTTCACTATTTAACGTATTATATGTTTAAATGAGCACTTAATCACAATCAAAGAATTCCTATTTTGGTTATCCAACGTTGATCGATGACAATCACGATCTTTGCAATTTGATCGAATCGATTCAATACTATGAAGGTATTAGAAATGACAATAGCAAAATTATATTCTTCTTTTACTTAAAAATAACAATGTTCCATCAGTGAACTTCTTCAATTAAATGCGATAAAGTATATCCACATTGAGTGGCCAATTGTGATAAATTTTATTAACCGACTTCAAAAATACAAAAGACGAGAAGTAGAAGGTATCTATTGCTATTACAATGTTACCTCTTATATTGAGGGTCGCACTTATTTTGGTTTTTTCAATTAGATTTGTAATTATTTTTTAATTTTTAGTGCAATTTTAGTATTGTTTGAACAGGATTCAAATTTTTTTTGAGGGTTTATTGTAATAATAATAGTAATATAGAGTGTATTCTTCATTCTTATAAACATATATAAATAATTTTCATCCTTATAAAGATAAGCTTTTCTCCAAATTTAAATAGGGCTAAACGGGAAGTTCGTCTTTTCAAAGTTAAAAAGAATTGAAAAATGAACTGATTTGGAACGATAAATAAATGACAGACTTGACAGACTGAGGTAATAAAAACTAAAAAAACAATACAGCCGAATTGAGTACCTCCTTCTTTATTGAAGTCGGAAAAAAATATAACTGCATACTCGTTTCAAGGATGAAAATGAATAAACATTAATTTTTTCATCGACGATTATATAATAAAAATCTCCTTCAAGTAACATCCACCTAAATCCAAGCGTTTCCATGCGCAAACAGAAACGTGAAAACAACAATGGTACGCATTTCAAATTAATTTTATGACAACAGAAAATGAAAAACCTTGTCATTGTTGATATTCCCTATTGCACTGCATTTATAAAGATTAAGACTGACTGACTGCTGAGCTTAATTACTAATTACTTTAGTTCTTATGAAAAGGTAAAAAATTATAATTAGTCCAACATGACTGGTCGTCTGAGGGGATTCCGATTCCGGAGGGGTCGTCCGATTCGAGGGGATTTCCGCCCGGAAAAAAAGGGGTAACAAACAGAGCATGAGGTACCGTTCATCCAAGAAAGTACTATACCAGCCGTAAACAAAAATAACTTTAGCACGACTGACGAATATAATACAGACTGCGATTACCGATTTAGAAGAAAACCAGAACTCTACTCGTGCTATTTTTCAAGGATCCTGGATCCTGGAACCTGGATTTTTTGACTGGTACTGGTTTGGTACTGGATAATCTATTAATTGTGACACATATTCTTTCACATTTTTTTCCTATTATTCAGTTATTAGTCTAATTTTAGAGGTGTGGTGATTACTTACCAGTTTCATCCATATGGGCTTCAATGTCAGAAGTTCTGACAGTCCATATGTTGCTATGCCTTGGGTCTGTGATCCTTTTCTGCAATGACTCTGAAAAGTTTGCTGCAAACACCAAGACGGTACGAGACATGCCTTTGGCTGCTTCTTCCATTGCTACTGCTTTGTCGTCATAATGTATCTATTAAAGAGGAAATACAGTGATTTTTTTACGTTTTGTTTTTGTTTATGCGATTATATTCTCTTCATGTTTTACAGAGCAAGATTTGAAAATAAATTTCATAACTACTTCACACCATCTCATCCGCTGCTGCCAAAGGGATGGGTCTTCTTTAAGTAAATACGTAGAGGTGTTTTTACACAATTTTTATAGACATATGTTCTCAACAAGATTTTAAATAAATTTACCAGGAACTAGGGAATTAGTAAACCCTAAAATGGTTTAGATATCACAGACTTATGTTCATTTTGTAAAAATAGATAAAAATAATAATAACTTTACACATCTCACACACGGCAGTCTGGTCCCAAACTAGGCAGAGCCTGTGCTATACTAAACACACTGCTGATAAACATACTCATATAACAGATAATGTAAGTAGTAAAAGTGGTAAAAAAAAAAAAACAAATTAAACCACATAAAACCTTAGATGCGATGTAGAAATTCAATTCAGAAAATCTAACAACATCAGCGAAGTTATTAATGAAAAAAAATCTAATTTGACGTATTTGTAATGACTTTATGTAGCATGATGTCAGAAGATTATTAGACTTACAGCATAACATGACCTCAAAATAAAAGAAAATGCCATCCACTCACCAAATTATTTTGCCGCTTTGATAAGAAGTCTAAATACCGACAACTAAATCTTGTCAAGTTCCATTCGTACGTGTTCGGGTCCTGAGGACAGTAATCCTTGTCGTAACTGCAGAGGGGTTCTGTTGAATTGACTTCATAGTTTACCACGGCAATTGGTAAACCTTCAGGGTAGTGACCGATGGCAAGACAGAAGAATATCATTTGCGAAACAGGCAGACCGAGGAGAAAAGCTAAGGCGCTGGAAAGAAAATTTAATTGGTTTATTTTTATTTTGACATATCTCATATTCTGACATATTCAGATCACAATTTAATGCTTAATGAAGTCTTAAACTAATTCAATGCTAGAACACAGCTGAAAATTCTAAATCTTTTTACAAAAGTAAAAGAATTCTAGGGACAAAAAGTTCAAAACTAATTTCAAAAATAAATGTACCCCTTTTGTTTCTGAATTACGGCAAAAATATAATTACGTGTTCCTTAAGTGCAGAAATAAATGAAAAAATGACCAATTAAAATTCCGTACCCAAAATTCCTGAAGAGACTCAAGAAATTTTTCCATATTAACGCCTTCATGTGATGCCACTTCATTGGCATGTAGGTTTCCATGCTTATCTTCGGTTTCTCCTCAGGTGGCATAGCTTCTATCGGTGCGATCAACTCTGGTGTCACAACAACCCGACCTTTGCTACTCATAGATACATTGTCGCCGAATTCTCCTGAAATTTCACCAATTTCCGCTTCTTCCAAGTCTATGGCACTTGGGTTCTAAAAGATTATAAAATGATAGTAATTTGATTGGCAAACTTAAGGTCAAAATTTATATGTATATATTTTATATGAAGAAAATATCTAGTGTTAATAAAAAATATAAGATTGGTCATGATACACTTTAAGGACTGAGCGGAATTAAGTAGACTAAATAAGAAGTTGAACACTCAGAAGAGAAGAATTACTTTAGAATAAGACTAAAGTAATAAAACACAGACTTTTATATTGTATAAATCTTTTCTTTTAGCAGTATGTACAATTTATAAACTGTTTTACTTACTGGAATAGCTGGCAGTTCAACTCTCTCAACCACATCAGCAAGAATACTAGACCTCCTCCTTTTGCCTAAATTCTGCAGTACGGATAGCTTCAGGAACACGTCTTCAAGACTTTCTCCTTGGTAGCGACGAATTAGTTCGGTAGGTGATTCTTCAGCTAAGAACCGACCACCACGCATTAGGCCGATCTGCAAGGAAGGCATAACATATGTTAAAATTCGTTGAATGTTTAAACATTATATAAATAAAACGAACTTATCCGAAACTCGTCCTTTCCTAAGTTAGTTAAAAAGGGTTTTCAAGAGTTCATTACAGAGGGTTCAGAGGCCCTGGTGCCAATTATAATGATGATAAAAAAACAATTTCTGTAATCATATTTTCTAAATAACTTTAATTATAAATGTAGGTTTACTTACAATATCAGCCTGTTTGGTCTCATCAATATAATGAGTTGTAATGATAACAGTAGTTTTTCCACCTTTAGTTATGTCGACCAAATGATCCCAAATACTGTAACAATAAAAAAGTTTTAGGAAAAGACAGTCAAATTTTTAAACCAATAATTAAATACCAATAAATAATAATAATTACTGAAGACAGCAATTATTTTGGACAGTGTTTGAGATTTTTTTTCATATTTCTGACAATTAGACACTTGTAGTGTCTAATTATTTTCATGATAGAACTGCGTAAATAGCCAGTTTACTAGAATCCAAAACTAATACTGTATTTGCAACAAATTTAAAAACAGAAATTATGACGATTCTTTAATTTTTAATTTGCTTTTTAAATATGACGTGAAATATACGTTCTTCAAGTTTTATACAAAAAAATATTAAGATGTGATAACTATTTTAGATATTATGTCACCATAAACAAATCTGTTAGTATATTTTAAGTCAACTCTATTGGATTTGATATTACAGATATAATCTGTATTTAAAAACTGCATACTGTTAGTTACCTTTGTCGTAAAACAGGATCAACACCAACAGTTGGCTCATCCAGGATCAAGAGTTCTGGATCATGGATCAAAGCCGCTGCCAAAGACGTTCTTCTTTGTTGTCCACCTGAGAGATTCTTGACTTGTCTGTAAAGAGAGTATAGTATTATTATTCTTTGATGCTTGATGTTGTCATAATTACAGAATTTACTGTATACTTTAGCGGCCAAATGTAACACTCATATTTAGAAATAATCCAAATTATTCTTATAGCACTTACCTATACTTTTTATGTTAGCCCATGTTTCAATCGAATAATGCTGACCGTGGTAACTTATGCAAAAACTTTTTAGGACGTAGTCTAGAAAGAAAATATGTAAAAGTAAGGTCTTACCTGGTTGGGTTTGGCAGTTGCAGCAAAGTTATTAAAAAGTCAATACGGTCCTCAACGTCTTTGGTAGGCATATTCGCGATCCAGCCAAAATAAATCAGCGTTTCTCTGATGGAAAACTCTCCAAACAGGGCGATTTCCTACAAAAACAAAGACTTAAATTTGACAGTAGGTGTGTTAAGCCCTAAATTAACCATTAGAAATTATTCAATCTCGTAACTAATAATACCAATTAACTGTCTAAAATTATCTGCTTTTTTATTGCGAATAACATTATTTACGTAGTTGTTATTTTATAAAATAATTGCCAAATTTTCTCGTGGTAAACTTTTGGTTATTGATTTGTATATCCTTATTTCTGTAACATGGTCTAAATCTGAAATTGGATTCCAAAATCCGATTTAAATCATGCATAAACAATTTATTTATGAGAAAAAATATAATTTTCATTAGAAAAACAATGCCAAAGGATAAATACGTGTAATTAATTAAGCCTTCGAGAAATATTTCCGCAAAGCAAACGTGAACTTTGTTAGGTATTTAATAACAAACTTCTTTAATTTCCTAGTTGCTACTGCGATGTGGTGTTTTATCTTACCGTATTTAGAACAGTAAGACATGAAAATATTCTTACAAAACATTCTTAGGTGAGTCTCGAGGGTTTTAAAGTTGGTAACAGAGGTATTACTATCATAAAACCAAACTTTTTAGTATCTTCATACCCAATTTATTAGTCTATTTCTAATAACTGTACTCAAAAACAGTATTTGATTAAATGTATTGGCACGCCAATCTATGTAGGTAGTTTAAAGCCCTCAATATTTCAAATACAACCTTAAAAAGAATTTATGCGCATTCTCTGTATCGAGTCGAAGCATAGGATGTACTTTAAATTCTAGAACAAGGACAAATGTACTTAAATACCTTTTACCTATTTAGTTTTATAAATACAAAGTATGATATGTACTTTGACCATATAAGAAACTATACAAAACTGGAACTAGTATGATACATAATGTGCCGGATTAAGTGATGTTCCTCTAAAACAAGTAGCGGATACTCCGAACAAGCTACTTTATGATGGCTTGCGGGCCATATAAAAAAATACCTTAAGAACAATTGTGCGAGGCACAATTTCCTTCGTAATTTAACTTCTCTTCACTAGATGGCGCAATATTTAATAAGAGTTAAAAGTATGACGCAACAGACTTTTTGTCAAATTAAATTCAATCGGATGTTTGATTTCCAAACTATAATATCTCCTCAAGTGCTTTTAGCGCCAATATTAAACAGTGTTCCATAATATAATACAATTGTATTTTTGCATTGCTTTGTAAACTACATCACATCACCTTATGCAATAGCTACAATCGCTACAGACTTTTACGACAAGTATTATAAAAGGCAAATCTGAAACTATTCTTGAAACAAGTATTCTTAACATGTACTTTTAATATTTGTGATTGTAATGCAAGAATATAATATTAATGGGACGGTTAATTAATACATTGTAAATTAATTGACTTGACTGACTGACTAATTCATCAACGCAGAGCCTTTTTTTTTTGTTGACGGGGTGGAAAATCCCTTCGGATCTCCGGCTCTTCGGGGACTCAGGAGCCAGGAGTATGTGGTGATTCCACTAAAAACCACCCCGACGGCCGGCCTTAGGTGTCCGCCGGTGTCCTTAGGAGGCCGGCTCTGGGGAGGACCCGGACCATGTTATTTCAGGTCCTCCCCGAATTGACACCATGACTAATCAGGCCCTATCCCAGGGGAGAACACTTCCCCCTTCAATCGCGGCATGGCGGCCCGATCGCATCTTAATGCAATCAGGCCGGCCATTCCATTCCCTACCGCAGCAATCAATCTGCCACCAGAGGTCCCCACTCTCTGGCGGCCCGCGGCCCCGTATCAACGCAGAGCCTGGGGTTACAAACTTGAAATTTTAGCAGCTTATGCTTTTTAGATTTTAAGTACCCATTAAGAAAGGGTTTTTGGAAATTACACCCCTACGGTGTAAAATAATGTATAAACGGTTGAAGGTCTGTCATTTCCAAAGTTAGAAACACGAAATAAGAAATAATTACCCGAGCGAAGAAAATAATCACAAGCGAACTCTAAATCTTGATTTCAACGGGGCAGTGATATATTGTTTCATTAAATGTTGGAAATTTATATGTAATTTCTAGAGCTGTACAGTAATTTTTAAACATTGACAAACCAAATTAAGAACGAAATTAGCTAAAATCCTTAGACGAATTCCTAATAATGATCGTAACCATTATCATATAAAAAATTATAGACATATTACAGCAAGTTTTAAAAGGAGGAAACGTGAAAGACAGTACCTCAAGTCTTTGATGAGAAAAAGTCTTAAACTGCAGTCATTGTCATATTTCACATTATGTTTTACCAATATATGATTTACGCTTACGCTTCAACATATCTGATGACAAGGAATTAGACCAGATCCTAGTCAGAGCCGTAATAGCTGTAGGCCTCCTTGTCATCAGAGGGGTCACTAAGAAAAGGATTTACGCGTCATATTTTCAGTCAAAAAAATATATGCATGAATTGCTAACAATACTTCTCCCTCTCTCTCTATCTATTTGTCTACTCTTACTTCCGTGTGTGCAAGTCGTTAAAGTATAAAAATATTACAAACCAAGTTACAAGCAGTTTCGGACGTAACGAAGATTGATAAAGAAGCACATATAAGAATTAATTTGAGCTTCCAACCATTAATCAACGCTTTCATTTCCACTTGGATATTATTACAAATGGCGGTAGCTACGCAGTTCTAGTATTTATATTCTTTCTACTGAGTTATTATATAAATATATACTTTATATTTATATACGTGTATAAATATAAAACTTTTAAAGGATTTATCATGGATCATGGTCAAATTGATGTTTTTTACGCCATCGTATCAGAACGGCGTAACGGATTTCGATGAAATTTGGCACACAGATAGATTATAGAGTAGACAGAAATTGGACTTTAAAAAAAAATGACAAAGTCAAAGTTAAAAGCTAGTTTATAATTTTCGAATTTCAAATTCAAGTAAAAAAAAATGATTTTATTGTTCTGAGGAAAAACATACAATATATACATAATACATACATACATAAAATAACTAGTAACCCATTGTTTCTGATTAATTTTAAAATCACGTCAAAGAGATCAAATACATTACCTTTAATTATTAATTTATTATAATTATTGTAACACATTATTTTTTGAATATTTTTATCTTTTTATTTAATACTAGCTGGTACCCGCGACTTCGATCGCGTGGAATTTGAAAAACGCTGCCTGGCTAAATTTTATAGGCTTTTTCTGAGATAAAAAAAACAAAAACAAAAATAATATTTTTTTCGGAAGTTTCACTTCTGCTGTGTGTGAATTGTCCACACACACTTTTATTTGTTCGTTACGCTTACACGCCTAAACCGCTAAACCGATTAAAAGAATTCTTTCACCAATGGAAAACTACATTATCAGCGAGTTACATAGGCTACTTTTTACCGCGATAACCAACATGAACGCGGGCGGAGCCGCGGGCAAAAGCTAGTATATAATAATTATGATAAACAAGTGTAAATATTTTTAGATGGCATTATGTACGTAAAATCAATACCCTTTTCAATAGTTTCTAAGTGAGCTAAATGAGAGTAGGTAATAAAGAAGATAAAAGATTGAACGATATTTTACGTATGTCTTTTTAGTTCTATCTAATAGTAGAAAGAAAAATAAAAGACACTTCAGAGGACCTATTTCTCACTCCTCAGTGATAGAACATCTCTATTCTATTGTGAGGTAGGTTCTTTTTGAATTTTTTGAAATAAAATCACTTTCAAAATTCAATATTAAAATCAGTTTGTCCATATCGGTAACAAACATAAAAATGTACAAACGAATTAAGAAGTTCCTCCAATATCTGAAGTCAGTTAAAAAGGCAACAATACAACACAACCAGCATTATCCACGAAAGAATAACTAAAGATAAATGTTTTAAACTAAAGATAATGTCAGCAGACAATTGTTGAGATTAGCCCTTTTCATGGCCCTGGTCATGTAAACATACACGTTAGCCACGTATTAGGCTGGTAGTCGCTTCAGTGATCACAACACTATTATTGATACACGTGACATTGAGTGGAAAATTTTATTGTTTTCTAGGGTTGTCACATCAGACGACCTCTGGCGGCAGATGAGGTGCTGCGGTACGAGATATGGTAGCGACCTGTTCGTATAAGAGGTGATTGGGCGGCAACATAGTTAATGGGTTGATTGGGGGAGAAGTTTAGAAGGTTTTTATTGGAAACACCAAACACTCCAAATACGAAGAGATGTACCTTTAAAAAAAAGGTTTTCACAATAGGGGGTCTGACAATTTTTAGTGGCAATATTTTCAATAAACCTTTATTAAGACTGAGAAATAACTTCAAAGTTTTTTGTTTGGCTAACTTTGGAGCTAACAGTTTTCGATGAATACGACCAATATATATGTAGTTATGTTCTCTGACAAGAGGACTGTTAAATTTTACTATCCAGAGTTTTATCTTTTCGTAATCGCGATATCTGTATGTGAAAAAAAAAACCTCTTAAATTTCAAATTCATTACATACAGAATTTGGCTAGTTATGCAACGAATCCTTAAAATATAAAGTAAAGTATTAAATAGAAAATTATGTTACATCGACAACCCTACAATTCAGACATATAAATAATGATCAATTGATCTTGAAATAAGGCTCATTATCCAGTGACAATATCAGAGGTTATATAAACAGCTTATTAAACGCTTTCTGGACACAAGAAATACAGCAAAATTGTAAAGGTAGGTTATTATTATAACACACTGCTTAACTGTTATGAATGGCCTTTATTTTCTAAATGCGTGTATTATAGCCGTATGAAGGTACTTATAGATAAACGTAAATATAGATACCTAAACAACGATATCATATTCTTCATAGTTTTATTATGAATCTGTTTTTTCATAGCTAATTTTTTCTAGTTTTTTTTTATTTAGGGGGAAATACCATTGACGTACAAGCTTAATGAAAAAAGGTATCAATAATATGCAAATTCTGTTTCACTTTGTGTTCTGTGTCTGTGTAGCCTGGCAGTTTCATTCCACTTAGAATTATTATACACTTAAAATTATAGCCATGATATTATTTTTTACTTGTATAGAAAAATGTAATACATTGTTTTGCCCAATATATTTTCTCTTCAAAAATCATATTAATATTAGAATTTCAGTTTTTTTTTTGGAAATAAACTATAAAAATTAAAACTGCACCCGCTCCCGACCGGAGTGATAACCACGACTTAACAGAAAATCGGTGTTAAACAATTCTTGCTTTGCTTTTCACCGAGTGAGTGAGGTCACTGGACCCAAAAACCCCTACCTCCCTCTGTTTCTGATGGGAGGGGACTCGTAAGGACACAATGCACTTGTGACTTTGAGTTGCAGGTGTGTATGAAAAGTGGCAGTCACTTATCATGTGACATCTGCTCTTTTGCCAACCACACTACAAATAAAAATGTTAAACGTAGCACACTTATTACATAATTTGAAACATTTTACCAACCTGTGGCATATATCCTATTCTGGGTCCAGGAACACCACTTCCAGGGCTGCCAGGCTTTCCACCAAGTACCCAGATCTCCCCGGAGTTCAGCCTTCGTCGGCCAACGATACATGACAGGAGTGTGGTTTTGCCACAACCTGAAGCTCCTAGTAGACCGTATCTGGGAAGAAATGATAAAATAATATTTGAAAAACCACCAACACATATACTTCTATATTTCTTAATACATACTTACATCTATAACATAAATTAAACCCAGATATAAAACAGCACACAATATTTGTCCTGGATGGGAAACGAACCCATGACCTCTGGCTTAGCAGGAGAATGGCTAATCACTAGACCAACAAAGAAAAAGTAGATATTTTAAAGAAAACCAACATTATCGGTTGCCGCCAGATATATTTTTCATTGATAAAATTAAATTAAATGCAATGTAGTAGTACATTGGTTAAAATCTCTCAAAAATTAAAGAAACCTACAATTTTTTTCAATGTTAAATTGCGTAACTTGAAGAACAAACTTGAAGTATATTTCCTGATTTATACAGTTAATTATTGTTTCATTCATTTATTTAATAGTTAAGGTTATCTTTCTCTTGCAAATGTTAGGTAAAGCTAAACTTGAACTTAGAATAAAGGACTTACTGACTACTGATAATGACTACTGAAACAAGCCATGGGATTTCAAGAACAGTGGGCCTAGTATGAGTTTATTTCACGTCTACTCGATCGTCATATCTTAACTAATCGCAACGAAGAACGTGCTCGCCATCAAAATAGAGGGGACATAAACCACACTAGGCTCTCTAAAATGTGGAACCACGTTTTCACCACAGAGGTGACAGTCTAAACTTTTGACACATTTTCATTTAATGCGAAACTTTTTTCTGTTTAATGTTTTCTTTTAAGTTGTTTTGTTTGATTTCACATTTCAGTTCATATTTGCATCAAATGGGACAAATTAATGCCCTGAACATCATATTTAGACAACTCTATATGTTTCTCTATCTCGCTTACACTCTTAAGTTACCTATTCATACTATATACTCACTTACATATACTTTTATAATAGGGTCGTATTTGGCTTAACATTTTAATCCAATAACAATAGCAATATTCTTTGAAGTTTCTTAATTAAATAGCACTTGATGGAAGTAAAAGAAGAACAAAAAGGAAAGCAATCAAAGAGATATAGTATAAAATATTTAAGATTTAGTATTATTGATAAAAGCCATAAAAAGTGTGTTTTTTTTAGTTGTTGAATGGATTGAATAATTTCAAAACTATAACTTTACTTCGATTTAAAATGTATAACTTCACAAATTTTACCTGTTTTTATGAGACACAATCGATATATCATCATCACATCAACAGCCTTTGATAGTCCACTGCTTAGGACATAGGCCTCTCCCCAGAAAGAAGGTTTTGGCCTTCTATACCATGCTGGCCAGACCAGTTGGTATAGGGTTTGTGTCAAGTTTTCCTTCTCTTTGCAGTGCTTAGTCGACATAAATAACCATATTTTATATAGACTAATTATTATTACTAGTCCTAACAAATTTTAATGCGATTTCGGGTGTAATTAACATAAATAAATGTACTTAAAATATAGTAAAAATCTGCATGTACATAAATTTTATTAATAAATGAATATTATATTTAAACAGCTTTATAACAACATACAATTAAAGTCGTGATAAATTAAACCTGTCAACAAGTTACTAAAATTTATTACCAAAACCATTAAACAACTATTGACAATTTGCATCAAATCAAATTCAAATCAAACTCTCAAAATACAATTTGATTATTTTAAAGACTACAAATAAACTATGTATATTAAAAATATAAATGAATGCACCGTAACTTAAATCGAAACAGGGGGAGCCCCGTGTCCGTCAGCGGGACAGTTGATTATAAGATAAAAACTAGATGAATTAATTACAAAACTAGATATTCCTAAATCGCAAAAACAAGTTTTTATTTCCAAATATAGAAGAAAATAAATATCTTGTCGTCAAGGTGACTAATATTAATAAAATTACTATTATATTTCTATGTTAGTGTATCTCGTATTAGTTATAAGCACGATAAATTATTTGTGTCTGGGTATAATTCATCTAAAACCTGTAACTTTTGAAAAAATAAATACACGTTCGTAAAATAATAAGTATCGCCAACTGTTATTAACTATATTATTGATCTGTAAATAAATGACAATAAGGTTTATATTCAACTTACATGGCTCCTTTAGGTACAGTCATGTTCAATCCATCCAATATGACATTAGGGTTCTTGGCCGTACCGTATCGCTTGTGTGCCCGTCTCACGCACACGGCCTGTTGTTTCCTGTAATAAATTAATAGATATTATGATATTTTTGTGGTATTTCCGAGTTCTATAAGAGGGTAAGTTTGCTGAATTATAATTATGTAGGTATTCGTTTACAAGGGTCGTATCCGTTTTGCTTGTGATTTAGGTGAAGATTTATGACTTTTAATTTCGGTCCCTTAAATATAGTGATTAGAAGGCTTTTAATTTTAGATAAAACTCTCTCGTCACATTATCAAATAATTATCATTTAAAAGAGTCACCCTGACATCTGTACATCATGGTTACATGGGTGGGCAAATGCCCGGCAACTTGTAAATTAGTAATTATCCTAATAAGTGGTGATATATTTATTTCCTATGCCATTTATCTGGGCATATATTTTCGTTTCTAAACAGTAAAAGCTTTTATTGCCCTATCATTGGCAATAAATTTATACCCAAAATGTTCAGTTTTTGCCCGCCGGGCAGAAAAACTAATTGACCATCTCTAATCATGATTTTTTAAATTTGAAAACGACAACGGGAATTATAGCCATCAAAATAAATGAAGAATTTTCCAAATTATGAAATGTCAAAATTCTAAGGTAACTAACATAACCAAAAGATACAAAGGAATTGATTAAAACTTTTTTGAACTAGAAAGAAATTTACAAGAAAATAGTATAGAACCTCCCCAATTAACATAACTTAACTTTTAAATTTCTTTATCAATTATTACTTTTGAAAAGAAAAGAAGTAAAAATGGATTCTCACCTTGAAGCAACGGTACTCTTCTGTGTTTTGAATTGCAACTTCCTTCTGGCCATCAGCTCTTGCTCTATAGTGCTGATGGTGATCGGAGGCTCCGCCCGAACGTCCTCCATCGATATCGTCGCTCCTTCGTTATCGTACGCCGGCATCTTGACTGCAAAGATAGAAAGAGAAAGTTAATAATATGTATACATTTTTCTTTACTAAAATTCTAATCAAATATATATATACTTTTATAACCCTTTTAGTGTCTATGATATTCTATAACCACCCGGTATTTTTGGCACGAAGTTCACACGTTACGTTACGTTACAAATTAAGCGGATGAGAATAAGACAGAAAAATGTGTAACAATACTTTTTTCCGATACCACTTGCAGAACTTCGTTCCTACCAAGACGGGTATCCATAGAACCCTAACGCCGTTTTTTTATATTTTTTAATTTTGTCACTTGTACACAAACTGCAAGCGTTTAGCTACGGCTTTAAATATTAACATTTAAACTTTCGCGTTCGATGATATACAATTTTCAAACGTGGTCTTTGGCGGACTGTGACCGCTACCGGCGAAACCTGGTCTAAACGTCAGGATATTCGAAGATTTACCTATTACTCCCCTTAATTCCTGTTTATTAGTAATAGCTCTAAATATTATATTGTATTCAATTTTAATAAATTTTAATACAACATACTAAATAAATGTGAACTAATTAATTATACCCGACCTTCATAAATGTTATATTCTGGCCTACATTAAACAACTCGTTCTAGACTCGAACTCGACTCTTGATTATACTTATCGATTTCAAAGGTCATTCCTCCTAATAACTAAATTTACTACGACTTTAGAAAGGTCAATCGACTCGGATTCGAAATTAATGTAACATAAGAGTTAGAAATCCTCGGAGTACAGCCTAGTTACATACTAAGCAACAGAGGTCACGCTACAGTACTACAAGTAGGTTGTTAATTAAAAATGAACTTTAAGTGTTAAATAAGGCAATACATTTCTATAAATCAAGGTATAATAGAATCATGAAAGAAGAAAGAATTCGCTAACTTTCAGTAAGCGCGCTCACCGCTTTAATCTTTTTTTTCGCATACCGCCTTACCGGCGGACCCCTATGACAGTTATGTCGGACTTGTAGCCTGTAGACCTGTAGCCAACTACAGGCGATCTCCGGGCACCTAGAAAAAAAATCCCTGGCAGTCCGACGGATCCCGGGCCTTCTACGGCTTATAGATAGTTCTCTCGTATATGGGGACCATGGGGCTCCCTTCCTGCCCCTAAAGCCACCCGAGAATGCTTATGTTAGGGTGAACCTCTGACACCCTAACATCTGGCAAATGGAAAACACTGCAAGCGATCTCCAAAAAGCTGAGATTTCATTGAGGATAACATATTATGGTTTTGGAGTTATAAATTACCTAAGTTCAAAGACACGTACATTTCACAACACTACGGATTGAAAAAAGATTAAAGGGGCCCGTTAGTCTAGTGGTTAAAGACTCTGACTGCTAAGCCGGAGTTCGTGGGTTCGATTCTTACCCTAAAAAAATTTATGTGATGAGCATGATTATTTATTCATATACATATTTTTTTTCTGCTTTTTAAAAAGACAACGCCCGCATTAGGAATAAATCCTGTGTCGCGGGTGACTTTACAAACATACATGAAACGGACACAAAGAACACCCAGACTCAGAACAACAAAGTGTCGTCCCATGTGGGGCTTGAACCCACAACACTCGCCGCAGTAGGAAGCGGCGTGGCGACCGCCTAAACCACTACGCCATCCGTGCAGTCAAAATTATATTTAATATGTATGTAATTAGAAATATTTAAGATTGTATGTTTACCAGAGCACAGGCTCTGACTATTTTGGGATCAGACTTGTGCAAGATGTTTGAAGTTGTTATTATGAAATACTACTTGTTCTTACACACGGCCATTTAATCTCAACCAAGGATGCATACTAATGTATTATAAAAACCAGACTACCGATAAACATACTTTTACATAAATTAATAAAAATATTCAATATCATTGGTAAACTACAACATAGTGCAGAAGAAATCATCATACTCATTACTCAACTATTTGTCCTGAATGGGAACCGAACTCACGATCTCTAACTTTGCAGTCAGGACCACTGGGAACTAACCCAGCAGGTAACGTGAAATTACTTATTTATAGACTAACTGGTACCCGCGACTTCTTGTCGCGACTGGTCGAACCATGCTCTATTCGCGACTTGGAATTTGAAAAGTGCTGCCTTTGTGGCGTAGTACGGTACGCGACTGGAGTCCATGAGGACTCGGGTTGGATTCCCGGACCGGAGCTAAATTTTATAGGGTTTTTCCTGTCAGAAAAAATAGCCTAAGTTACTCATTTTATAGACAGCTACCTGGCAGTAAAATATTACCAAAATCAGTCCTGCCGTTTTGAAGATTACCCGAAACTAACAGTCGAACAGAAAAAATATTTAACTGGTTTTTAGGCATAGGTATCGTACAAATAACCGTGTGAGCATGAAAAAACCCTATGATTTTGACATTACAAACAGACACTTCAATTTTATTTATTTGTATAGATAAATAAGATAGTTGCATATATAAAATATACCCATACTAAAGAAACGATCAGTCACAACGGGAAGTAATTGCAGATTTTTTTATACAAGAATATAATAATATTTTAGAACGAAAAGGATGAAAAACTTACCTTTTAGATCTAGAATTTGATATAATTTATTTAAAGCAAGCTCCAAGGTATCGGGCAATCACCTCGTAAATTTCAAATTACGAGTATATCGTAAATTACAATAAAGATATTGTCATAATTACAACGTATTAATTAAGCCACTTGTCTTGAAACTGTTATTACCTATTGTGCGCCTGTATCGGTTGAACTTTTTAATGTTTGCTATGGACCCACTCTGGACGTAAATTTTGATACAGTACCGACACACACAAATATATTAATCGAAAATTTAAAAATATACAAAAAGATAAAGAAATTAAATAACAAACATCATTTTTGAAAATCGAATGTTACAATTTTATATTGAACTTGACACGACGCGACGTACCAAGTGAGAGAATTCGATTAAACTAGAGGTTTTTAACCTAGAACCGCCATGTTTATAAATACCATAACATTTATTATAAAAATGTATAAAAAAGCACGTATTCTTATAAAAACTTGTGGTTCGTCTGATCACCGGCAATTCCCAAAGAGTCTTATGAATATATTAATATTTAGATGATTTTAATAAACACGTAACAAATTTTAATATATAAAACTTAATATCGACACATCGCTTTGATTTTGATCATTTACATGAGTTAATGACGTACTAGTTGGTTTATTGGTTAATGACCCTGACTGCTCAGCTAGAGGTCGTGGGTTCGATTCCCACCGATGATATACAAGTATAAGACGTGTGTGATGGGCACGATCATTTGTTCTATGACTGGGTGTCTATAATATTTACATTTGTATTTAGAAATACATCATCATCGTCAGCCTATGGACTCAGCCACTGCTGGACATAGGCCTCTCCCATCGCATGCCACTTCGGTCAATTTTTGGCTTCTCGCATCCAACTCCTGCCAGCCATTGCCTATGGGCGTCCTACACTGCGTTAGAAATACATAAGTATGTTTATCAGCAATCTTCCCAGATTTAAAGTAATTATTTTTGGTTAAAACTAAAATTTCTAATTAATTCGAACCATTTTATGCGCCATACCTTTTTTCTCTCACTGCCGTAATTTTTTGCCTACCTTTCCCATTCATTTATACTCCCAATTTCTTGCCTACCTTACCCATACATTTAAACTCTCCATTTCTCTCCCAACTTTCCCATTCATTTATACTCCCAATTTCTTGCCTACCTTACCCATACATTTAAACTCTCCATTTCTCTCCCAACTTTCCCATTCATTTATACTCACAATTTCTTGCATACCTTTTCAATTCATTTATACTCCCAATTTCTTGCTTACCTTTCCCGTTCATTTATGCTCTCAATTTCCTAGTACCAAATGATAGTTTACAAAATGTGAGTGGTATACGTCTGTGCATATCCTTTTAAGAATGAAAGTATATCTATGTACATTGTTCATATAAACAGTTTGATAGTTCAATCATAAACTGCAAAGTAGTAAAAAAAGTTAGCTTAGGATCAGAAGTGAAATGTCTTCGAAATATCTTGGGTTTATATGAGTGTTTACATATAAAATATGGGTTTATATGTACACAGGTAACGCCACGGTGTGATTTATTTCATATGAGAGTCTTAGATTATTTAAACATTGTTATTTATAATCTTAGATGAGGGTATAATTTTATTTCATTTTCGTTTGTTGGACATAATAAATGTTACATATACCGAACATTAGTCTAAATGTACTGAGCTAGGTATTATTTTTTAAAATATTATTTAATATTCTACGTCATGTACTGATATCAGTAAATTAAATTAATGCCTACACGGTACCTCTGAAGGTCATCGACCTGACGTGTATCGGTTTCTAATGGTAACCTAAGTTAGGTTACAAAGGTGAAATAGGTGAGGTTTATTTTTTAAACAATTTGTAGTAAAAATTAAATTTAATTAATTTTGCGAAAACGGCCACAACAAATCACAATGTATCAGTATATAATTATGTTGACCTTGTTTTCTTGTGAAACGTAAAGTTTATACAGTGACAGTTCTAATTATTTAAGTCTTCGGTATAGCACAAAAGGTTTAAAGATAATAAATTATAGTCAAATTCAACCAACAGATGATCTCTATTTTTTTATCACAAAAAATTTATTAGAAGGAAGTAGTATAGAACCAGTAATATATATAGGCGGATGGAAGACGATTCGTTCCAATATTAGATATTTTAAACACAAATTATCATTTACTATTTATTTTCTGTTAAATTTGATTATTTATAGAATGTATAACATGACGTTGTTTTCATTTTAAAAAAATAGATTTGCTACGTATTCTTATTTTGGATTTAAAATTAAAAATATTTATTTGATCCACCAAAGTGGTCTCTCAAATTTCTCGAGTTCATTGATGGCTCAGTTTCCAGTGTAATCCTAACTTTCCAGTAGAATAGAAAACAGAAACACCTTTATATTTAATAAATTCAATCAGGTTTAAGGTCTGTCTAAGTGACACGTTACCCTCTTCAAATGCGGAGCAGTGGTTTAAGAGATAACCTGGGCAACTAATCTCGTCAAATATTGTGGCTTCGTTCTTCTTTAGGCAACTTTTCTTTCGTGATTTACCTATAATTTATCTGGATCTGACTGTGCTTTGTGCTTATTTGTTTGTAGGTTTGTATTTTCTAACATTTTAATGAGGGATTAAGAATACGGAGTGTCACTAGCCCTATTCATCTCGTGGGCGTCGTAAGAGCCGACTAAGGGAGCAAACCATGCAGGACAACAGCACTTCAAAGAGAAGGAAAACTTGAAACAAACCCTGTACCAATCCGTCTGACCAGCGTGTTATAGTAGGCCAAAACCTCCTTGCTAAGGAGGGGGCTATGCCCAGTAGTGGACTATTAAAGGCTGTTGATGTGATGTGATGTGAACTTCGTCTGCGTCTGTCAAAAGGAATAAATTTAACCGGGTTTTGCAATATTTTTCATTGATGCTCTGCTCCTATTGGTCATATCGCAATGCTATATAGCCATTAGACTTCCTCGATAAATGGGCTATCTAACAGTAAAAGTTTTTTTTATATCCGAACCAGTAGTTCTTTAGATTAACGCGTTTAATCAAACAAAGAACTCCTCAGCTTTATAGTACAAATAAAGATAAATTGTGTAAGTTATATTTAACCATTTATTGTTTAAACAATTTAACTTCTTTTTTTTTTTTTATACAAAAGACAACTCCCGCACTAGGAATTAATCCTGTGTCGCGGGGGACTTTACAAACATTAATAAAACGGACACAAAGAACACCCAGACTTAGAACAACAATTTGTGGATCACACAAAGTGTTGTCCCATGTGGGGTTTGAACCCACAACACTCGGCGCAACAGAAAGCGGCGTGGCGACCGCTTAAACCACTACGCCATCCGTGCAGTCGTTTGATAACTGTTTGATAAATATTTATTTTAGTTATATATGTATGTTTATCTTGTATCCGGGGTGTATTGAATGAAGGAAATAAATATGTACTTCGAAGTCTGCAGTTCCTAAGGTCATAGATGAGCTGGAAAATGCGTAGATGCTCAAAAGTGTGTATATGTACTCGTATTTTCAGGTTAAAAATAAAATTGATAGTATATTCCGTATAACCACAAACTTTTATTAAATATTTATGAAGAATTTTTAAGGCGTTTCATTCTGTTTGCCCGTTTAAACGTCCTTAAAACAAAATCTGAAAAATATTGTACCTAATTGAAAAAAAACGGTTTTAGCACAATTACACACACATACAAACACACACACGTATTTTATGCCCGAAGGAGACAGTACCTACTCAACACGTAATTAAGTTCACCGAACCATTTAACATTGAGTTTAGAACATAAAAATCAAGGGCAAACGAGCAGACCTAATGCTAAGAAGACTACCACCGCCAATGGACCTCGAAATTCCAACCACTCAGAGGACGGCAATGATCTTGCTGTCCTATGTGTGACTCTTGCCCCCCCCCCCCCTATAATTAGCATTACTGAAGTTTTCGGTTACCTCACTCATTTAGTTTTCTGCGAGGCCCTTTTATAACTCCAGTCGTCTTTACCGAGGTTCAGTTTAGTCCATAACGTCACTGGTTACTATTTAGAAATCACAGAAATGTTTACAATAAAAACTAGATCATCATCATCAATAGCCTATAACAGTCCACTGCTGGACATAGCCCTCTCCTGAGAAAGAAGGTTTTGGGCCTACTATACCAGGCTGGCCAGACGGGTTGATATAGGGTTCGTTTCAAGTTTTCCTTCCCTTTGCAATTCTGTTGTCCTGCGTTATTTGCTTTCTTAGTCGGCTTTTACGACACCGACGGGATGAATAGGGTTGGTGACGTTCCTTATTCTTACTCCTTCACTACACGGAAAACAGGTCTTGATCTATAGACCTAAAACTAAATCAGATATTTTTAAGTTTAAAAGGCTAGAAAGTTATTTTTATCTCTTATTTGTTCACTAAGTTTAATAGTATCTATAATATTTCTTACAATGTTCAATGTAAATTGAATATGATCTTATATTGTACTCTTCGAGCAACCAAGACACAACCTTGGGTTTTACCGTATAGCGGTTATTTTCCACTACGGAAACAGCTTTCTTATGATTGAACATTTCAAGTGTATAGTATTTAATGGTGAGTGAATCAAAGTCACCACTTTATTATAATACGGAAATATAAATTGTATAATTTTCCATCTGTTTTATATATATATATGTTAACTGCAATATATTTAGTATGCGTAATGTACATTGCTGTATATTTGAAATCTTAAATTCTATGCAATATAGCTGGTCACAAAAGGTGCACTAACAGTTGATTTTTGTTAGCTAAAGTGTTTATTTGATTCAATGCGCTAATCTCAGTAACGCCTGGTGAGAATTAAAAAAAAAAACTTTTAGTGTTGTATAGGCTATGCAACATCACGCTATGACCAATTGGAATTGCGCATAAGTGAAGAATGTTGCAAAAAGGAAAAAAACTATTTCTTTTGAAAGACACAGACGAAGTTGCTGCTAGTATGACAATATCCTTGGAATATTATATTTAGCTGTATTGCAGATACTTATACGTAGACGTACTTTTCTTTTATCAATACATATATATCATATATAGAAACATTCGAATCAATCATCAATCAAGGCGGTCTAATACAATGCAGTATTTGTCAATACTTTAAATCCTTAGACAAGTAGAACTAGACTAGTGCAAAGTTAGACAGGTCAGAGGTATATTTTAATTCTCTTTTTCTCTCTTTTCAATAAGAGAACTCCTGCACTAGGAATAATCACGTGTCGCGGTGGAGTTCACAGACATACACGAAACGGACACAAAGAACACCCAGACTATAAACAACAATTTGTGGGACACATAGCGTTGTTGGAAGCGGCGTGGTGAGCACTTAAACCACTGGGCCATCCGTGCAGACAACGAACTTCTCGGAATATTCATAACTTGTTTACACTATTCGTGAACATGCTTTACTTAATCTTCGCATCAAAGTCCATGTTGACAGTGATCACGAACCGGTTTCTGGCGTCAACAAAAATACCCGCCATTATGTAGCAAGGGCGTCAGACAAATTATAAGCTTAGCAACGAAAATAAACTGAACTGAACTGCCTCGTCACAAGTTAAGATTAAATTCTGGATCAAACGTACGTGTGACATTAAAAATAAATAAATGCAGGCGAAACCAATAAAAAACCATCTTAATTCCTCTGACAAAATAAACTATTACATCATAGGTTGTTAGTTATGGATACTTGCCTGTTGATTCTAACTGAATAGCAAGAAGTCGTGAGTTTGACTCCTACCCTATTTGTTTCTGTTTGTAATTTATCTATAATAGGTATGTATTTAGAAATACTTAAGTATATTTATGAGCAGTCTGGTTACCATAGCGCAGTATCTGCCTAGTTTGTTGAGATTGTTGTAACATCACTACTTTAGTAAGTGGTAGTATGTCGCATCACTGAGTCACGTAGCAAGATGTACACTCTAGCGCAGCCATTGCTTGATCGTCCGCGACATTGTGTAGACTTAAATCCAGTGCTCTGATTATATGACGATATAATATTCAAAATCGTTCTTATTTACTAAGTCCTTAAGCAATACGTGAGAACACAATTGAGATGTGTTACGTTATTTTTCCTCGCTGTCCACAAACTTATCTTCTTATAATATTGTCTATAAGTTGAGACTTATATATGGTTCATACATTTTTATAGTTACATATCATTTTGCTGCAATGCTATTTA